GAGTTATTCGAGGATTTGCGATCTAAATATGTTTCGAAGAGTTACTTGGAGTCGGGACTAAGTTCTTCAAAAGTCGCGTTGGAGCGGCGAATGTTCGTTTTTTTCATGATTACATGCACGGCTAAAGGGTTATCGATTCAAGTACTTTTGAATAACGTATCTCTTTCAAAGGAAACAGATACGAGCATTAAAATCTCCCATCTGACTTTCCATTCGATTCATCTAAAATTCAATTTTTGCATCAACGGAAAATTTAACCCTTACCTCTTTCTCATGTGTGTAGAATACAACGGCAAGATCAAGCCGTCGTCTTCTTTGTTCAACCCTCGCGGCAAAACTGCTAACGTGCGCTTCGAGCTCCTGTGCAACCGCGTAAATCTCGTCAGGGGCACACTCTCCTGTATGAGCCAACTCTTCCGCAGCGGTCAACAGCTTCGAAGCGTTCGTGTATGTATTCTGCGCCACGTTTTCAAAATGCTCGTGACTTTTCTGATACACACGGGCTTTCTGGAGATTACGTCCGACGCCGGTGTTTTTTCGGATGAACACTTCGCCGTGATTCGTCAGCCAGTCAAGCACTTGCTTCACGTCTTCTTGGAATAGCCTGGAAGGGAGACACTAATATAGATCGTTGTTTTATGATTTTATCGCCTAACCATGATTATGACAGTATATTGTTGACGATGAGATTATATTTGTGACGTGAAAGGGTTTCTTTGGTAGTACGCTGGCGTTTGTCCAACAGTTTCTTTTTTTACGACGCTCGAAGGCAAATTGCGTTTTCTGGCCGATGTGCGAGTGTTTGTAACATCGAGACGATATTGCTTGTAAATTTAAATCGAGGAACTCGATTTATTTTTCAATTTGTAAATGGAAGAAAGAATTTTCACCGAAGCGACTTGATACGCTGCAACGCTGATAGGGCAAAACAAGCAAATTCCATGTGCTCACCTGAGCGCCAATCTCTGATGTAGTTTGATTTTCCTGGCATGCCAGCGAGCTTCGAGAGCACGGTGATGTCCGAGTATCTGATGGATAACCGCAAGCACGTGGCTCGCGCCCTCGCTATAGTCAGCCGCAGGGTTACCGCTCATCCCACCACGTCCATCCATGTGGCCGTCCTGACTCTATAATACACACAAAACCGATCAGTATCTGTCGACTATTGATTATTCCGTTCACGGCTCTCTTTATCTCTTTCTATAGTTCACATTGGCTCCTCTGCATTTGAATTTGAATACGATATATTCTTGGAGTTTTTACGCCCACTGCAGTCCTGCAGTCTTATTTCGGAGCCAATGTTGCTTATATAAAACGAGACAATGGCCTTTTTTTAAATGAACACACAAAAACGTGCAACTTATATACTGATACTCAACTACTGGGATACTTTTGTTTCTGTACTCTTCTAAAATGCGGGCGTTGGTATTAATTAAACGTAACAGACCAAAAGTTTCTAATGAAATTATCGTTATTGCTGTGGGACTTTTCCAATTACAGAGGGTCTTGATGCTGCGCCTCTTGAAAGCGTTAAGTTTTGCACTAGATATATATACGAAGGAAGTAGAATGGAAGAAGCGAAAAAAGAAGGGAGTGACAAAACAAAAAGGTTTGCGCATTGGACTTCCTTTTCTCTTTTGTTGTTGTAGTTCATAGTGTGGAATAGCGTGGAAAGTCTTTTTTCCGCAAGGTGAAATAACATATACAAAGACTATTTTTTTCTTTGCTTTGTAGGTCTGCTCTGCGCTAGTGCTTGAAATTATTTCAGAAATTTTTCGCGGCATTTTGAAGTTTTCGCGCTTATTTAATTTACCGAATCACTGTATTTTTCGTCGAAAAATTTTACTCTTTAAAATAACTAATGCAAAGTTCAAGAAGACTTTTCAAGAAAAGTTCCGTGATGAAATTTTAAGATCTGCATTTATAAGATTTAAAAGTTCGAAATGAATCTTTGACTAATGACTCAGGATACCTTTGTTTAACTAAAACACACTCATGGAAGTAAAACGAGAACGCACCGTGATTGATTTAATAACAACTTAAGTGTCATCTCTAAAATCTAAAGGAAGGAAGATGCAAGCAATAAAAGAATCTCTTTATTTTTGATCGATTAATCATAAAGCACAACGTACATCCCAAGTACAAGCCCAAATGCCAATCCTTCTACACAGTATGTTACAAGCATCCTACAGATACTCAAGATACAGTAAAGGTGTAGGGGAAGAGCCTTCAGCATGCAATAAAAGCCAATGGTAACATAAGCTAGGTGAGGAGTGGTGTATGTTGTGAGTGATGACTGCAATCTCGGTGACGGCAGTGCAGTAGGGTCGTGATGACAAACAAAGAAAGAGAGAGAGAGAGAGAGAGAGAGAGAGAGAGAGAGAGAAAGAGAGAGAGAGAGAAGGTAGTCTCTCTCTCTTTTCTCTTCTCTTCTCGAGTAGAGAATCTACACACTGACACACAAAGACAAAGACATGCAACATTAAAGTTTGCGCACGCTGGGGGAGAATAGCACGTACGTGTTTTCTTGTCGCGTGGTCTAGGCCCTGGGGTTGGTTACACACTTGCACGAGGTGGTCCAGTTGGTAAAGTAGCTTCTTACTCGTACTATGCACCTAAACCGTGGATTACAACATCGTGACTCTAAAAGTCTAGTGTAGGTATGTGTCTTCCGGGTATGTATAATATATATATTATGTTAAGCGAAAAAATAAGAGGGATGGGTAGGCAGACACTACGTCACCAGCACCCGTGCGCATGTTTTTCACAATTAAGCGGCAGCTCTATGTATGGCTCGCTCACTCACACTCACTCACTCACTCACTCACACAACCACACACGCGCACGCGCACGTGCACACGCACACGCACACGCACACGCACACGCACACGCACACGCACACACACACACAAACACCTCTTCTTTCTTTTAATTGGTACTTCACGAGAATTAGAGTTTTCGTATTGCTAAGAGCGTCTTGCTAACAACAGTGATTTCTTTTTTTTTGTTTTTCTGTTTTTTCTTAATCGAGCTAGAGTCTCTCGCTTATAAAACTCTAATTCCTGCATTCGTATCGTACCACCAAAAACCAATTCTAAGATCTATAATTCCTGAAATGAATGAAATGAGTTCTTTAGATGCTGATTACGATTATGTTTCGCCATTCTTCTATATAATATGCTTTGATTGGCAGTTTACCCAGACACCATAATGTTAGCAATCAATTTTTTATCCAACTGCCGGCTAAAAACTATGTCATTAAAAAATGAAAAATTATCTCGTACGTATTCGTCGGTGCCAACAACTGCGCTCGCGCTGTGACACACTTGCAGCATCTTGCCTAGTCCACTTAACAGTGATTGATATGCGTTATATACCTGTAGGGGAAGTTATTCGATGATTATCGTTTATTGCACTCAAGATTGAATACATTCATGAATTGACAGCAAAGATTTTTTTAACGTCGAATAATCAAGTCATGATAATATTCAACTGATACGAAGCCTGTCATTGTGCCCCCAAGGCGATTCGACGGTACACATTAACATTGAGATTATGAACTGAATGTAACTTAAAAAAAATTAAGCATGAAAAGTTGATGAAAGAGCCAAATAAAATAAAAAATATTTTAAAAAAATAAGAAAAATAGTAATAAAAGCGTAAAAACAAAGATCCTTTATCGAAAACAAAAACAATTATTTTCATCCAATTAAAAGTATCGCTGAAAAGAAGTCGCAACATAACAATATATTCGTCAGTGAACAAAGCATCGTAATAAATTTTTACCTCGGTGTAAGCTTGGCACATAGCCTCGTAAAGCGTTTGATGTTGTCTGATGTGCGACTCGAGGACAGGAATTTCGTTGGGCAAATTCGTCGCATCGCAAGCTTGACTCCAACCGGCTACACTGTCGACGTATTGCTCGGCTTTGTGGTGGAACACAACACTCAAACTAAGGACGGCAGTGCGTTCGTCGAGACCAGCCGCGAATTCCTTCCAGGCACGATCTAAGCGACCTGCTACTGCACGAATATGACCGGCAGCGTAATGCTGTGTCTCGAGGAGACGGCCTGCCATTGTCAGGATCTTGTTAATGTTCACGTACATATTCATCGAGTTCATCGCGAAGTGCTTGTGATCTTCTTGCAGGCCTTTTGCTGTGAAGAGATATTAAATTACGCTTAATTGATGCCAAGTGATGGTTATCGATTGAAATTAATATCGAGGGTGAGAAATCATTCTATTTTTATTTAGCTTTTAAAACTTTTTACAGATTATAAAAATACTTTGTTAATATTAACATTAAATTTGTGCTTTAAACAACTTAAAACAAGGCTAATCAATGATAAATAAGAATATTCACAGTAGAAATGATGATTTACTATTCGTGTAAAGAAAATGTAATCATAAAATGCCTCATAAATATAATACTTCGCATATACTATTTTTTATTCCGTACGTAAACCGGTTCTAATAAAACTTCATTATAAATTCCCATTCGAAAATCTTTCTCGGGCAAGACGCGTCCCTCGCAGAACAGAATAAAATGAAGATACCAAAAAAGGGCTTTACCCAGCTGATAAGATCGTCCAATCTCAACGTAATTAGCCAAGAAATTCTCTCGATTATGGCAAATCCACTCGAACATTTTCTCGCAATCCTGCTCAAATAGCCTCAGCTGGAAGCACTGTTCAAGCTTCATTTTCTTGATGTGCCAAAGTTGGAGCAGATGCTGCTGGGCAGCATTCACCGAGTCGAGGTGTTGTAACACGATGTTAGCAATGTCACGACTCTCCGTTTCGGAGCCACCTGACGCACCTGACTCAATGCTTCCACCTTCGCCACTACTACTGCCATTCACGTTTATGTTGAATCGCTCTAGCAGTCTGTTTCCGATTGCTCCGATATCTGTGACAAATGTAATATTTTTGTATTCCCAACGGTATTGACGACTTCTATTGAACAAATATTCTTAAATATTCAAAATAAATTAATTGAGTGTGTATCTATAAAACAAAACAGAAAAGCAACTTACGTAATATCATTTATAACATCTCAATCTAGTTACATATATTACTTAATCTGATTATACTCGCTAAACGACTAATCTATCGAACAAGTCACTTGTAGGGAGTCCGTTTTTTCTCTCAGTACAGTTTTTAAGCTGAATATCATTATGTATTTTCCTGATAGCAACTGAGAAATTTTGGTAGTAAAAAAATGAAGCATAATTTTACGTAAGAAGGTGCTATTATTAATCAAGTACGTGCAAGGTTATATATATATATCACGTTACGTAATTTTATCTATGACTACCGTACCGTTTTGTACTATTAAACATAGATCGATTTAAAACATGGTAATTTAAGCTCGCACTACGTGAAACGTACCTTCAACAGGCACCTTCATAATCTTCTTCTTCATCTCATTGTGCATATCAATACCATGCTTGGCACCACCAACATCATCGGCAAAATCGTTTCTACTAAGATCCTCTTGCAAATCGTCAAGCCTATCCAACAAATCAGTCGCCTGCCACGTGAAATCTTCGAGTGCCAAACGTACATCGATCCACTGGGCATGATCGTACTGCAACGATCCCTCGAGATCGGCGGTCAGCTGCGATGGGTCTATGTTCCTAGCTAGCGCTTCTAAGTTAACTGTATTTATCTGAAACGAAACACAGTGGAGAGCGTCATCATCAAAGCGAAAATTCTCGACCGCAAGAGCAGCAACATATATAATTTCTGCGAGCGTCAAGGAGAAGTGGGTCACAGAGGCTCATTCACCGAGACAACGCAAAGTGTGCATTATGCGTACCTCAAAGTTGTACTTCTTTTGCTTGGCCAATGAGGTGCGCTGCTTCTGCCAAAAGTTCTCGGGCTTTATCAGGAAGGCCACAAACACCGAGTGTTGGAAGTTGTCGTGCAGCACCTGCAACGTTCCAATGAGACGTCATCACTCACTCACCCATTCTCTCTCTCTCTCTCTCTCTCTCTCTCTCTCTCTCTCTCTCTCTCTCTCTCTCTCTCTCTCTCTCTCTCTCTCTCTCTCTATCTCTCTCTCTCTCTCTCTCTCTCTCTCTCTCTCCTCTCTCTCTCTCTCCTCTCTCTCTCCTCTCTCTCTCTCTCTTTTTCTTCTGGTTTTACGACTCTCGCTATTAGCCTTCGTTTAAGTTTTCACTAAGGAATTGATTTGCAACGATCGATGGAAAAAATCCAATCGAACGTAAAAATCCGTTTAATGAAATGACTGTCCATTAGGAATGATATATTTACCAAAGCTCTCATTGCCGTCAATATTGCTATTATATAGATTAAAAAGAAAAAATCGATACCTTGAGAATAGGCTTGACGGAGTCCCAAGTGGTGGCGCGCATGTCGACAACCACGGTGAAGCGCAGATTACGATCGTCGTCGTTGGGTATGGCCATGAGATACTGCAGGAGTCGGCGATAGTCTTCGGGCTTGGCACGTTCGCGCCTCGGATTGTTGGGGAACAGGAGCAGTAAACCACCCCGACGATCGCGACTGCCCGGCATTATTGCCAGCCGTTCCTGCAGCAATGGCAGCACCTCAGCCGCCCTGATAATGTCCATTCTCGTTGTCGTTATCAAACCCGACCTTAGGTTCTCCATCATACCACCTCCTCCTCCTCCTCCCTCTTTATTGTCACTTACTATCACTCACTGCAACCAATGCAATCGTGGCGGTCGGTTTGAATCGATCACAATTTCACGCAGAAACCTCGCTAAGAGGATCACTCCCAAGTCCCGTTCGATTTATCCGATCACGCTTTTTCCCTATATCAGAAGAAACTAGGTTGCAACCAACTTTTCTCCTTCTCGAAAGGTATAATACGCTTCGACAGATCCACCTCGTACGATTTCCCTTCACTCGCGCGCAAAGTTAAAGATGCCTTCGGCAGAGGATAGGAGAATGAAAAAAAATGCCCAGTTACGTAACGGACTAGATTGTAATCGAGTGATTTTAATTGACCGTTTCATCTCGCAAACGTTTAATTCCTTCGCGTTTCTCGTAGTATCGTAGCGAGTCCTTTCACGTGATATAGTCAATATTAAAATCAAAACATCCATGAGAAATAGAGAGCATTCGCTAACGACGCAGGATCACGGAGTGACGATTTAAATGTCAAGTTTCGCGCGCGACGATGCGTAGCTACACAAATGTGTGAAATTTTCACGTGACATTGAGTGCCGTTGTCGCGCGCGAAAATATCGATAATTAATATCTAGCGCGCGGCGCCTGGCAGTCAGTCAATTACCGACCGGTAATGAAATACTGTTATATTAAACGTCCGTGCGCGTCTCCCTGTATCAACGGTAGCATACAAATGCTCACGCTAAACAAAAACGCGCGTGGAATACATCGCCAGAGTTGTTTGTTGATAACGATTCCGTTATTGGCGTGGGAATTTTACCGTTAACGCGAGATCAAGGCGAATCCGCGCGGAGTGACATTGTTAACTATATGTATCTTTAATGCGAGTATCGTGTGTGCGTATGAGGCTGCTCTTTGTCGATTTACGGATCAGCGGTGCTCTGCTTGCCGTGGAACTTCTTCCAGCGATTTTAGGACGGGACACGTCGACAAGTTTTTTCGTAATCTTTTTGTGGGGATTGGCCGCCGATTGCTTCGACTGGGCTGTACCGAAAATCAAGTTTTCGTAACGCGACGAATTTATTTGCTTTTTCTTTTTCGACGAGTGATCGATGTCCCATGGAAAATATAGGTCTGCGTGTTTATAAATATATTGAAACGCACGTTCCTTTCCGACGAAAATCCGCTTTCGCAGCTTGGGCTCTTTGCGGAGAAATATAACTGCACACCAGAAAAAAGCCGATACAACGGATCAATGACTCACAGACCCGCAGCGCAAAGAAAAAAAAACGAATACACACACGCTGCAACGCCTCTTTAAAATAGAAGTGCGCGAGTAAAACATTCGTCCTCGTCACATGTGCCGAAAACGTTCTTTTCGGTAATTGTCAATTCTCTCGCGTGACGTTTACGAGTAACGAATCAAGATAGAACTGCGTGTAACGTCGAAACACACGATAATAATCGTGTCGATGGCGGCGGTGGCTATTGACTGGAATCGCAATTGAAGCGAATGATTGACACCGCCGCCATTTACAAAAAGAAATTGTATTTATAGAGCCTTTGTTGGCCCGCGGTGAAAATATTTGACGCGAGGGTAGAAAGCTTTCTTTCTCGCTCGAACGGCAAGTTCAATTAAACCAACTATCCTTCGGTCGCCATCGAGAATGAGAGAAAAAAGTGGGAAACTCGAGAAGCGAGAATCTGTAATATCTCTGTATAACTATACGAAATGCATGACCCACATTTTTTATCAGTTACATAGATACTTGTTTCGCAACATTGAGTGCGCGCGCGAGAATTTTATTTTTTTTTCGTTCCCCAAAGCAAAAATCAATACACGGGAGAGGGTGCTACGCTTCTTCGCTACTTTTTCTTTGCTCTTTCATTGCGTGAGCTATGAGGATCCATTAATATCTCGATGCGCTCTTCTCCGCGTTTTTATCGGGAATGTTCTCGGCCAATCGATTGAACATTTTCGCCGAAAAACATGTCTCGTCGCAATGATCCTAAGTAGAATATTATGCACTAGTAATATTTTCCCGACTACACGATTAAATGCCGCAGCAAAATCGCATCACTCTCTCTCTCTCTCTCTCGCTCTCTTTCTCGCTCGACTATTTTCGCATGCACGCAAGCGCGATCCGCATTAAAAGCACTCTCGAGCTCTCGTATAACGAGGTGCTTTAAGCGACTCATTAAAGGCAGCTTTTTTTTTTAATGACTCGCTAAAACAGAAAAAAAAATAACAATCTTAGGAGAAACGAGCTACGACGCGAGAAGTATAGGGCAAAAAGGGAAGAAAATGAGAAAGGATTGTGTGTCTCGCCGCGGGCGAATCCTTTCTTCTGCCTGGCCATTCATGCGCGCGGCGGGGAAACAACGAAACGCGCGCTACTCATCGGAATACCCGAATATTCCGCTCGCCAAAAAAAAAAAAGAGCGAAACGAAGGAGCGGGCGCTAAAAGACAGTCGGCGGCGGCGGCGAGAGTTTGGGACCGGCAACGGCTTACGATACACGCGATTCTTCGCGGAAACTCGCAAGCTTTGTACGCGTGGCCTTTCGAGGCGTCGAGACTTCATAAGGAGCTTGCAGCTCATTGTGAACGGCTTTTCGACTGTCGCGTCGAACGCAGATAACATCGTTTTATTTGGAGAGGCATATCCGTTTTAATAAACTTTGCGTCGAAATACAATACGCGTTTGTGTTGCGAACAATGTAAATTGATACAACATCCTTTCTCAGAATTGACGCACGCAAAAACCGTTTCAATTTCTTCCGAGTTCGTGCTGCATAAGCATTATTTATCGCGCTTATAAAAACTGGCGAGCTGCCGTCGATATAATTAATAACAAAAACTAAAGGCAACCATTGACGTGCTTCCCTGAGTTTATAGCTTTCGATGAAAAAAGCGTTTAAGAGCTGTGAAGCAATGAACGGCGTTGAAAGGAAAAAAAAATACATGAATAAAGAAATGCCACAAACAGTTAAGCAATCGCTCCGGAAAAGCCACCCAAAAAAATAGCCCCCCCCCCCCCCATCCGTCAGTCATCGTACGTGCAACTGTAAACAGAAAGTTTTCGTCTGCGTGTGAGTTATTGAAAGGGAACTGCAGACTTTTCCGATAAAAGCACGCGCTAGCAAACTCTGAAAACTCGTAGAGCGCAGCAGCCAGCGAACAATGCGACAGATTACAACAGCCGATACGATACACATATACTTGCATTCAGCAGCTCAGGAGATGATTTTTTAATTTTAATTAGCCCCCTCTCCAATTACATTGAGGACAAGATAGCATTCAACTCGAGCGCAGACTCATATCTAACGCCGAAGGAAGTTTTGGCGCAGCTTGATATCGATTTGACAGGCTTCATTGAAATGCGATTTTGAGTAATGAATCCCACGCAAAGGAGAGAAAATGTGAAATGACTGTTCAATTTAATGCTTTGTACGCAAAGCACTTTAGTGAAATTATATAGCGTGTAATGTCTTTTCACTGAAATGTGTATACCTCGTGTAATATTGATATGAAAATAATGCGTTTTACGCTGCCGTGGACGGACTGCAATAAAAATGCGCGTACGCGAACAGTAGACGTCACTCGCATGACAATAAACAACAATGTTAACGAAATCATATTCGGTTTCGTTCACTCTCCCTTTCTATTTGCTACAAAACTGACTATCAAGTATCAGCGAACCGCGAGTCTAGAAGAAAAAAAAATCGCTTGGCAAAAGTAAACACATATCTCAGAAACGTCTATCTGGCATAAGCGTCACAAACTACAGAGTGAGAGAGAGAGAGAGAATAGTATACTCCACCCCAAGTACAACCAACCCCCCCCCCCCCTCCGAGATAGTACACACAAGTTTGTATATATGTATGTGTAAGAGAAATCCACGACACGCGCCCTATCCGCACATGGCAGGCCAGGGCTGCGCACGCGTATGTGTGCCCGTATTGCACACAACTGTAAATCAATCCTGGCTGCAAGAGAAAGTATATTGCAAAAATTGACTGCGAATGTCATTTTTAGCGGGCGAGAGTTACGAAAAGCTTGCGTTAACGGTATAGGAGGAAAAATCATTTGTTTTAATATAAAGGAATAAAAAAATCGTTTTGGGGAGCCTATAAGCAAATGAGTTTTGATTTTCCAAATGTTTATGTAGTTTCTTTGTACATTGGAGAAAAAGAGAGAAGCTTTCTAAGAAATACTAATGAAAATTAATTAGTCAGTGGCAGGTTTATATACATAGACCGAGTTATTCTAGAAATATATATGTTTTCACTGCAGTGTATGAATTCATTGGTATCTCATTTGGATGAATCCTGAATAGTCAAGTACATGAAATGAAACTATGCATTGGGAATATATATCAAAGTCTAAAATTGGAATGAGTCTTGAAAGTGTACAACTCAATGGAGATTAATCATGAATATGTTCCACTAATTAACTAACAATATTTTTATAATTTTAAAGGTAAAAAGACAATAAAAACATTATCATAACAGACTGTTATAAAAAATATCACATACTGGATTTAATCCAATCTCATTCTCACAGGTTACAAGAAACAACGATTACATAAAATTGTAATCATTGTTTCTTGTAACTTTGTAAGTCTCTCTTTGACTCTCTTTCTCTTTCTCTGCCTGTCAGTTAAGACATTCATCCAATCGAAGATATTCTTCGTTTTCTTGTTAAACAGACAATAACAGACTTTTAACTAACAGCTATAACGCAAATTTTTTTCGTTAGAATAACCAGCTAGAAAGTTGTTTGGAAATTATGTATGTTGTATTTTTTTTTCAGTCAACAATTTCCAACTTGTCAAAACAGAGTTTCCACAATGATTATTGCGAGGTGTCTGTGCACTTTCCCCGTAACAGCAAAGCATGTTCATCCATAAATAAAAACAGATTATACTAAACCTGGCAAGCTGACTCTCCGTGACCGAAGAGAAAGAGAGAAGAGAAACGCGTTGTGTTTGAGACTGTACACACACTCTGAAAATGATTCACACTCGCGTCCCTTTTCATTTTCGTTTTCTTTCTTACAAATAATCATCGCGATAGACGAACGAACGCACACTGACTACGAAAAAGACAACAAGACACTGACGAGAACGAAAAATGCTTTGCACACGCACGCCATATCAAAACACCAAGGAATCATTACGTGAGAGTCCCGTTACGTTATTACATGCGGCGCGCGGCTACGGCGGCGAGTCTCTCTTACAGAGCTGCGTACCTGCGTGGGCAGTTTGCCCTCGCCGTGTAACTTTTCGTCGTCGTGTTGATGGTGGTGATGCAGCAGTTGTCCCTTGAGTCAGCTCCATCGAGTGGTTGTCCAACCGCCAGCATTGCGGTTATCGCGTTGTTTCACGCACTGCACTGACGAAGGCCAAGCACGTACGCGACGACGACTCGACACACGCCAGCCCCAGCAGCGGAAGACTTCCGAGGCTGCTGCTGTTGCTCCTACACTGCGGACGTATGTATGTGGGTGCCGCCGCTAGACTCTGGCCTGCCTACAGCCTGCCGCACATTCGCCACTTCGCGTTTATACTCTTTCTCTGTCTGTCTGCGTGTCTCTCTCTCTCTCTCTCTCTCTTTCTCTCTCTCCTCGTTGATGCCAGTGCACTCTCGCGACCAGACTGACTGAGCTCGTGTCCGCACTCCGCAGGGGGGATACGGAGAAAGGTACCGCTTTTTTCCGGCGCAAGCTCGCCTTACACTTAATTTCTCATCCCCTTTTATAGGTGCACTACTATAATAAATCAATCAATGTAACGTTTTATCAAACAACTACTAAGAACTATATAAAATAAAATATCTCTGAATGCGAATCCAATCCACACAGAAGCATTTTCACTTTAAAGGTTCGTTCAATCAAGTGGTCAAAGCGTAAGAAGGGCGCTCGAAACCAGGGAATTTTTCCCGTAGCTTTGGCGGACGTGAGAGCCTGCGCAACGATTGGCCGGGTGTTTAGTGGCGGGCAGTGTATTATGGATTTTTTCTTTTTGCACGAGCCGTTCGAATAGCCAACGAATTCTGCATTCTTTGGGGGGTGGTTAGGTTGCGTAGCGACTCTGACGCGCGGCAACTCTTTTTTTCTTTTCCGTTTTAGTCGTTTTGGGATTTGAGAAACTAGTTCGAAATCTTCAAGGACCTATACATATAGTGAAATTTTGTATGCTATTCCTGGAAACATAACGTGTAAATCTATTTTCTTTATGTGTATATACATAAGAAAAGTGCGTAGATGACAGTCAGGAGAAAATTTTTTTACGTGAAAATTGAAAGATTCATAAGCATTTGTGAAGTGTAATATTACAGAAAATTGTTTTTTTTTTAAATGATGTAATAATGGACTATGGAGATAAACGTTATAAATGAGAATACATAATGGCATATAGTCTCTATCGTTGATTAAATAGAATATCTCGCTAGAATATAGATTGAATATAAGGAGCTATAGAAAATAGCTTTTAGGGACTTTCATTTAGAAAGAAAGTTTGCGCACGTGTGTATGGTTGAAAAGGCGCTCGATTGAAACCCCAAATTTATTAAAACGGTTTATTGGTTTTTTTATAGAAGAATGCTCGATAACGGTGTCATTGACTTCTTGGGTCACGAAAGCGAATTAATTGTAAATGAATGAAATAGCGATGCTGGTCAAACTTTATTTTGCATTTATTCTTGGAATATATATGCATTATGAATCTGCAATTTATATTGATTAGCTTTCATTAGAAGGAATTTTTAAAACTTTCCTAGTACGTTCTCATAGCACATATTTATTTTTTAATAAATTTGGACGCTCACTTTATTTAAAAAACTAAATTCAACACCACCTATGTATAATGTTTGAAATGATAATATTAGTATATTATTTTATCATCTGTAGATAAAATAGGGAATTGGAATTGTGAAAACTAAAAAAATTCGTTTATAAACTACGTATCACGTGATTAAAAAAAGGTTCGAATATTTCCCAAAGTTTTGATGTTAAATTTTTATAGTATTGTGTGAATTGGAAGGAAAAACATGATTCTTTCCAAGTGACATTTTATAGATATATTTACTTCCTTCTGATTTTTAAAATGATATTATTGATCTGATTACTACTACATGACATCTGAAAATTTTATTATAATTATCTGAATTATCTGTTGTATTTGTATTACATTTGTAAATATGTATATATGTATAATAACATATAAATATATTCTTTAATATAGTAATGAACAAATTGTTATCTACGTTTCTTTTCTGATAAAATGTAACATAGGTTATCAATACTAATAAATCTGCTCCGAAATACTTTCTTCACGCTAAAGACGCTAGGAGAAAAGTTTAAAAAGCCGCGACGACCTCCCACTATTGAAAAACAGTGAAGGAGTATGTGTGAGAGAGTGTGAGCGAGCGATAGCGCGATAGAGTGAGAGACGTGTGCTTGCGTCGGCCATGTTGCCTGCAATACACGCGCTATGGGTGGCCGCTTGATGTCAAAGCGAAGCAGCAGCAGACTCGCAGTAGTTCGCGCGGCGGCAGCATCTTTCGTCGTCGTTGTCGTCACTCGTGGCTCGTTTATAATGTGACTTTAGCGTCCTGTCTCAGCCGATCAGAGATTATTTTCCGCGACTGTTGTAAACACAAATCATACTTGTGTTAATGCGTCGACAAACGCACACACGTTTGTTTACCCCAATGTGACAGTTAGGGTGCGATTTAATCGTGGTGCCAAACGCGAAAAATAAATTTTGTCGTTGTTGTTTTTTCTCTCATTGCGGTGAACTGCGACAACAAATGCAGATTCTCGTCAAATAGAACAAACAGTGTTTTAATACAATGTTTGGTAAACTGCCACCAACCACTAACAACACACCTGGTCCACCCTGTTTGCCAGCCGAGAATGCTCCACCGGACAACAAGTGGAGGCTCAACAAGGAGACTAGTGCTTCCACCAATCACGAGATACCTGAGCTCAACAAACAGCAGCAACAAACTTGCAGTGCTTCCAAAGACTACCAGCACTGTAGAACTTCTGCGAGCAACCTTGTTTTCGTACAAAAGTATCCTGGTGCCTCTAGAATTCCCAGCAGTAGTGCTTCCAAGCCTGGCAAGTCTGGTCTGACTGCAGACTCTATAGCCAGTTACCGTGAGGCTATTAAATCAACCAAAAAGTCGTGCAGAGATATGCAAACCATGATTCCTAGTCGAAGGGATCATAGTAGAAGATTAAACAATACTGATGTGGATGAGGTGGATGCTTGTCTTTTGTCAGATTCCAGACTAGAGCCACCAAGGAAAAATCAAAAGTCAGAGATGATTATGCCTCATGATTTTAGTACTTCTACACCATCTAAAAACAAGTACAGTGACAAAGAGAATATGCCAGCAGAGTTTCAATCGTCACCAAGGAGTTACAAGGACCGTGAAAAGTGTAATGACCCTTGGAGACCTACCGAACTTGACAATGGTCTGAGTGGGCTCAATTATACAGGAGAGTGTATACAGGACAAAAGACGTACTGGTGCCTCATGTCAAGCTCTTAGGCATGCTGTGGCATCCTTGCATCGACTTGATGACTTCTACCTTGAGAAAATTGGTGCTGGCTTTTTCTCTGAGGTTTTCAAGGTATGTACGTGTGTAGTATGTGTCTTGAATTTGAAAATGCCTGCCAAAGAACTCGAGTTAACCAACACCTTGATCTGCATTACTCATTCTTGAGAGGCTTATTTACTTACATGACAATCCCAATTTGTGGACAACCTTCTGTATATACTGCTGTTCTCTGTCTCCTGACTCTTGGAATTTACTCGAATATTTTTAGACCTGATTTTATTCTTTTTTTAATTTCAAGTTCTAGTAAACAACTAAATTTAACATTGCTATTTGTAAATTTTTTCCTTTGAAAATTACAATCTTGATGCAACCTTTTGTATTAAAAAACTAGCTTCCTGTTTACATTCAACGCTGACATTAAAAGAAAAAATTTTGTTCACCTGTGGAATTAATTATGCATGCGCTAAAGAGTATAAAAAACACATCCAATCTCCCAACTTTTCAATCAAGTTCAGCAAACTTGTGTGCATGGCTCTAGAGTATTTGTACTTTCTAAGCTGTAAGTCGTAACGAAGAAAAAAATAGATTTCATGTTTTCGAAAATTTTCCCGAAAAAAAGAAGGAAAAAAAGAAGTACAGACGCATTCGGAGCACGTAGCAAGATTCGCGTCTCTTTTGTGAGAGAGAGACAGTGTAAGGTCCTTTTTTGTTTGCGTCCGCTGACTCATCTTCCTCTCCATGCGATGTCGCTTGTGTCTTCTTCGTTTATTATTGTTTTTCACGTTCCTTTCTTCTTCTCTCTTTGATGGGGTGACTTTATTGTGATTTCTTTTTTATTGTCAGCGCCACTGTAAGGTACATTCAAACGAATTTTCATTTATAAAACGCGCGCGTGTGCGGCTTGCTCAATATAGGCGTCGAAAATACTTGCCAGCGGTCATTTGTCAACGGGGATAGTTGCAATGATAATACTTAACGACTGCAACACGACGTTCGCTATATTGTCGCAAGAAAATTGGCTTTCGCACAGTTTTCCTCCGCGTCCTGAGCGTCGCGTCGCATATCGTTCTTCCGCTCCTCGAAGGTAACATGTCGGAAGTGCGCGGATAGTTTATCTAAGAATTATATAAGCCATCAAAGCGCCACGTCCGAGTGATCTCGCGCGATTTAGATTTGATTTCACCGACAGTTTCGCGCGCGCCAAACTTGACATTCAACTGCTTGTCGAAAAGCGGTAAGTTTTCACTCGCGGAAGCGCTCCCGACACGTAATCCAACATTTTTCTTCTTTACAACGATCGCGTTTCACCCAACTCTTCGCACCTTCCTGCGCTTTGCAGCGTGCTCGCGCCGATAAAGTTCCGATTAATTACATCTACAAGCCGATTAGATAATAAGACTACGCGGGCACTCGCACGATGGGAAGAAAAACGAGATACAGACTTTCGTATTGATGAGCATTTTTCCATAAAGACCCTATATAGAGGAGTTACACTAGCTGCTACTTTTTATTTCTTAGTGCTTGCGACTTGACGCGTTTAGTAACTTGATTTTTCGAACTTCATTGGCAATGAGTTCAATATGATATAACAACTGCAAAAGTATATTACTTTGTGCCATATCACAGATCAGCGCTCAATTGTCTTGTTATTTATCTTTTTACGACGAAAAAGTTGTGAAACGTCGCTTGTAAGCGGTACTCGAAAAAAGTGACATTCATAGTTAGAGTAAATAGTGCATAGTTTGAAAGATAAAATTACGAAAGTATTACTCATGGAAACGCTAATTTCAGAATGGAAATCACGAAGACAGAAATACTCGACTTATCTCTCTCTCTCTCTCTCTCCCCCTCTCGCTGGCTCGTTTATTATTATGCACCTTTTCCGCAAAACTGTGTCAAAACAATCGCGCAGAAATTGTTCAAATCACGAGCACGTTGCTTCGACGAAAAGGTCATGAATTATCGTCTTAACTAATTACCACCGGTGCAAAGAAGATAGTCGTCGTCGTCCCTTCGCGTCATTACCGTCATTACGTTACTACGAGTTACGTAAATCACGAGCGAATCTCGACAAGTACAGCACGTTTATATACCCAGCCACCCACTCGCACGGAAGAAACTGAAGGAAAATTCGTCGACGCTGAGCCAATTTTTTTCCCCGTAGACGTACGCGGTGCTGAAAAATAGCAGCTTTTCCTTGGCGAATATTGCAAATATTTGGCCGGGGGCGGACGTCGCGGATGAGAACTTTGTTTTTCGCGCGATTGCGTTTAATTAAGCTGTGCCATGACGAATTCGTAGCGCATGAATGAAAACCGGCGAAGGATGTATTTATATATTTCGACTTGAAGCCACTTAGAGCTCGGCCATTTATAACTCTCCTTTAATTTTGGCACAAATGTGCTGCCAGCGTGTATACCTGAATTTTCGCGCTTGTAAAAATAATCATCCGCGCGAGTGACTCACCGCGAAGGACTTTCGCGCGCGTGCAATTCAATACTCGGCTACTCTGAAATTTCGATAATTTCGACTTACATTATTGCAAAGTTTCGACGCTGATAAAGTTAATTCCGCCGGCGAATTCCGTTCGTTTCAAGCGCATAATGGATTGGAGGAACAAATGAAATTTATTGCTAAGTAATGTCGACGTCGGGCTTAGATTTTTAGATAGATAATAGACGACGTGACGGAAAGTCATGTAGCACAGAACTTTAAAATTCAAATATTGAAAGAAAAAAAAACCACGGCATTCACTTTTAGTTCGGGAGAAGAAGAAAAGAGAGAAGACAATAAATAAAATGTAATCGCGCGACGATCGACGAAAAACAAAGACGTAGAGCCATAGCACGTAACGCGAGGAGAGAAGACACAGCATTCAAAATTAGTAACGCGCAACTGGAGTGCGATGACTCGCATGGGTTATTGTCGCGTCTGTGTACGTTGCATGTGTGCGCGCGCGTCGGTGCTTGCGTCGCCGAAGAGGAGGATATCTCTCGAGTTCCGCTTTGGCTCCCTGACGCGAATAATGCAACAGAGTCTCTCTCTCTCTCTCTCTCTCTCTCTCTCTCTCTCTCTCTCTCTCTCTCTCTCTCTCTCTCTCTCTCTCTCTCTCTCTCTCTCTCTCTCTCTCTCTCTCTCTCTCTCTCTCTCTCTCTCTCTCTCTCTCTCTCTCTCTCTCTCTCTCTCTCTCTCCCCGTGAAAAGGGAGTTAAAAATAGGTCGACGCAAGTTACCTACCTTCTTGTGCGTACACCTACGGAAAGAGCTCTCCGGTTTGCTGTTGGTGATCACCATCCACGACTATTCCCTCCTGACGAACATTTCGGCAACTGTCGATTCTCTTACTCGATCCATTTTTGTTTTGATAACGCGCGCGTGTCTGCGCGAAAGGTGCCTCGCGGAAAACGGCTAAACTTAGCGATCGAGGAAAATTTCAGAAAACGAAGATTCGCTAAATGGGTCGAGGCCCTGCACACGCGCGCGACAGATCGACGCGCCTGCTCATTTCGTTGTTTTAGCGACAAAATTGATTTCGATGGCGAACCGTAGTTCCCAGCGACAATGAAATGCACTTGGCTAAGTGTTCGCTTTTCTCTCTCTCGAAAGACAAAGTCGATCGTGCAATTGTACGCGCGTGTGCTCTTGAAACGAGGAGCGCCGAGCTCGTTAACGAAATGAAAAGTATAAGGGGAATCGAGTTTTGAGAAGCACGCGATAAAATCGCGGCGGTTCGAGAGAAGTCGCTTGTTAAATAGCGATTAGGTATGTCCTCGCGGGTTGGATCAAATTTTCGCCGTCAGCGAAAAGCGCCACGCGATAAATTTCGCGTTTAATTGTTCGGAGACTGGGCCGTTGAGCAACGTGCGCGCAGTGTTTTCGTTGCATCCTGCCAAAGTCCGCGAGATAAACAAGAGACGTGTACGTCGCGGGGAAATCGCTTGAAATGCGCCCGCGCAAGACGACATTGTACGCGCGCGCTTTTTTATCTCCGAAAATTCTAGGACGTGCGAACCAAGCGGCTCACGCGTTTTTATTTTATTTCTCTCCCTCTCTTGCTCTGCCTCTTTCTCCTCGCCGTTATAATCTCAACATCCGATGAAAGTGTCACGTCTCGCCGTGCGAGCACCACAATAAGTTTTGAAATTCTTCGCTCGCGCGAGCACGATAGCTTGCTTCTTTTTGAAAGTTGTCCAAAAAATTTTACCTCGTGCGCGCGAAGCGAGTTTCGCCGCCGCGATTGCCAGCAAAGTGTCGCAGGCAATATCCTCTTGGCGAAAATTCCGAGCGTATAATTCGCATCTAGATTCGCTGATTCTGAAGCGAACGCGCGAGCCCGTGCATTTCCGAAAGTTTTGTCGCGTGTTATACTGCAATTGATGTTGATTTACTGCCGCTGTCGTGTGAATCTGGGTTGTTTTAGGAAGTCCAATTGCTCTGTAGAATGGTTGACGTTTTGGGGTACTAACTTTGTGGAGTAACGATTGAAATTGGCTCAGCAGCTAAGATTTTATGATTATTGTTTTGCTATTAATTTTGTTGTGTATAGATATTGAAAATTCGTCTCGTTCGACGCGGTTTAATTAAATTAAATATTATAATAAGTAAATCAAAGTCAGATTACTCAGTGGAATACTCAGCTGCTATTCGTTTAAATTTTTCGATATAGCAACACAATTTACTTATTGTCTTAATATTTCAGACAGATTGAAAATATTCTTGGAGTAATAAAAAAAATTATAATGAATATGCAATACCTATTTTTTAAATTATTTTTCAAACACATGTAATACGCATGTAATAATATGAAATTTATGATAAGAAACAATCTAAGTCATCTCAAATCTAGGCTTACAGCAATTTGTTTTAGTTTATCTTGATAAGCAACGTAACTGAGACTATCATTACGAAAAATTGAAATTTCGAAATATCAATGTTTTACATAGATGGTGTATCTCTGCCAAAGTCGCACAATTTAAATTAATGCACTACTACGCAGATTGTTAAAATGTTCAAAAATAGAATTCATTTGCTTGTGATATATTATTGTATAAATTATTACAAAATAGTAAATATCGTAAAGATATTAAAAATATTTGTGATACTATTTAATGAGTTGATTTAAAATAAAGAAAAAAGTAATTCTAAAATTTGAGCATCCAACTGTTGAAGCATACTTTCAAAGTGACATCTTTGAAGTTTACGCTTAGCACGAACAAGTAAATTTAATACAAAATTCATCAAATAATACCTAATAAAAAATCGTCCGACAATAATTTTTTAAAAGAAACATGTAGCTCAACAAGCCGAAGAAAAGCGAAGGAAAACATCGATTCGATTTGCGTATCAGCAGACGTTAAAGAACAAGCTTGTTTGACCACTCATACCCGACAAAAAATAAGTGCTATTACGTCTCCGATTCTCTCTCTTCGGTCGACATTCCAAACATACACCTGACAGACCACGCTCTGCTCGACCTCGTCGACGGGGGCATGCACGTAAAAAAGTCATTGCTCGTCCTTGAACGGACAACCTTGAAAAGCTTCGCTGCACGCTGCAAACACGGAAGCGTCATCCAGAATGAACGATTAGATACGCGAGTGGACGAAAAAAAAAAAAACAAGGCGCGGACAATTTTCGATTGACCGAGCGTAAAATCGCTTTTTCGCCGTCTTTCTCTATCTCGCGATCGTCAGCGGACAGTAGAGGTGTCAATTGCCAGGCGTGTGCTTCATTTGTTGCCGCGGCTTTTACGGTTAATTAGGCTTTTGTTGAGTGTCTCGTGAATTGTTGTTCGCGTCTTACACAACGCGTTGTGGGAACTATTGTGCGTTACTACACATGTCTTCTGACTCTTTGTGCACGCCATGTCCGAGGGTGTAATTTTCCTTTTTTTTTTCAAGGCGAACGATATATCGCGCTCGCGTTCTTTCATTGCTCGCGTTCTTTCGTTGCTCGCGAGGCGAGTGTAGCTTGCGCTTGCGTAAATCGATTTTCGTCGCAAAATCTTTACTGTGCTGTAAAGATAAGCGAGAACAAATGGGCGACGCTCGTATCACCACGAACGCGGCTCTCGGCAAAAGTGCACGTAAAGTGCGATAAACCTCGAACGCAACGCTCGAAAATCTGCCTGCCAAGCTGTCCGTTCCCAATTAAACTTCCAAAGGGAGACGGAAAGAGAGAATCTCGACGTTTCCGATAAACACAGCGAAGCAGCGTCGCGCGCAACCCACGCGATCTATTTTCGGCCGCAGCAGCGGCAGCCAATGTTCGCGCGAAAAAGAAAAACAAAGGTCGACGAAGATGCTGCTCCCAATACTCGCGCGAGGATCAATTGAGGACACGTAACTTGACCGCAGCGACTGCTGCACTTTCTTCGAATTGCTCTCTACGATCGATTCTCAAATTTTATATTTAGCCGAGGAAAGAAAGACAGAGCGAGAGAGGGGGAGGGAGCTGTTATTCTCGCGCGCGCTGTCTTTCTCAGGTGGAAAATATACCGATCAGTGAGCTGCGCGCGTTTCGGACGGGGTTCTCGGACGTCCATATAAATCGCGCAACTAACGACAACTGGAAAAAGTATTGATGCGAGAATCCATAAAAACCCACTCTCGAAGAGCCTCGTATGCGCAAAACTAATAAACCCGTGTCCCTCCCGGCTGTTTGCGTGTGCGCGCGCCATCACGAAAATTGTATAACTCACTTAATAAATCAATTCTCAACGCTCGCCGTGCGAGATAAATCACGCGCGCGAGTTGTGTATACCTCGGAGGCAACTGTCACACTCAACCGACGAGTCGCGGCAAGAGGGTGAAAAACGATGAAAATAAAAAAAAAGAGCACGAACGGGAGACACGTAAACCAATTGCTGTGGACGCGTTCAATTGAGCGCATTTCTCCTCGCGAGCGCTCGACAATCACCGCAAGCAGGCTGATTTTCGGCAGGCGCGATCCGCCGCGCAACCTCCTTGCGTAAATTCGCTTCCATCGCTCTGTCCGCGTCGATAGTTCGGTTGTTCTGGGCGGAGTGGAAAAACAACGCGGAGGCGATAAAAGAGCTGCGACGCGCGTTTCGATTTTTCTGCTTTCTGCGCAACTGAGTCGGCCGTGTGTTTGCGCGAAGGAAAAAAAAATTGAAAGTAACCAACCGATCGGGTGTGTATGTACCGCGCCCGTTGTTGTCGCGCTTGTGTAACGACTTTCGATTGGAAAACTTTTTGTTGTACCGCTTGTATACGTGGCTTGCAACAATGAAATTGTGTTCTTCTTCCTTTTTTTCGCGCAAGAGGTAATTGTGAAAGGTTGAGTGACTACCTGTAATCTCCGAAGTGTATTTCGAATGTTTTTACTCTTTCTTTTTGTTTGTAAGACTTTCCGTGACCTTTAATTTTGGAAAATCGTGAACGTGCAATAAGTTCTTTTCGACGAAGTGTATTCGTCGCTTGACGCGTAATAAAACTGTTGCAAACATTCTGCGTTCTGCGTAATTCAATGAAAAAAAATATGTTAGGCGAGAATAGTATCAAGCAATAAATTTACGACCAAGCGGATTCATGAATATTTCGTTTATTTCAATCGAGCTCACATGCAGATCGACGCCTCGAAACCGAATAAATTTTTCAGCAAATTCGGAGCTGTTGCGCAAGGCGTGACTCCAGTTGGCACTCCGCGCGTTACGCAAAAGAGTTTTCCACCTTTGCGATCTACGCGAAAGAGCGCGCAGTCCGCATTCTTGCGCGACACTTTTCCTCAAAGCCGTTCAGAGCGATCCGCGTTATTTTGGCGGAGCGACGACGCGCCTGGCAACGCAGCGAGCGAGAATGACAAATTCGACGTTTATACTTTTCGCGAATGAATTTCGTATATTTCTATCCGCGCTTATGCAACGACAGAAATATTTTTACCGGATACGCGAGGCGTATCAATAATGCAATCGAGTTGTTAATACTAGCGAGACCTAGAAAAAAAATCTGTTATTTCCACGTTACGTAAACGCGCATCGATGCATACTCCATCTGCTGTAAACGTTACAGAGTTTTTTTTTTTTGCTACAAAGCTCCTGTTTCCTTTATTCGAGCGGCTTGCTGAGAAAGAAAAACGGCTCGCTTGTTTTCCAGGTCACTAATTGCCACTCTCCAAATAGACCATCTGCTTGTTACACCCGAGAATATTCAATGCTACGTGCCGAATGAAAACAAATTTGCTTCTGGCCTGGGCGATGCTTTATAATCCGCATCAAAGAAATGCAAACAGTTATCTACTAAAAACCACCTCTTTTGCGATAGAAGCGAAGTGCATTGAAAAGCCTACGGGAAAAAGTCGTGTAATATTGAAGTGTCGCTCTTATTATCCGTCGATCGGAGAACCTTCTGGCTACTTTTTTTTCTCCTTTTTTTTGTCAACGAAACCCCGCCGATCCACGCGACGCACGTCCGGACATATATCTCTCGATTAATGTTTCCGTGAGCGCTCATTGGCGTGAAAACCGTACGTCCGAAGGCGAAAGCCACGTCGACGGCCGGGTATCGTCTTCGACTCTCCCACAGGCTTCGCGCAAAGCGATTGCCGAAGATGCGTCCGTGGCGAAAGAGCGGAGACGACCTTGCCTCGCGCGGTTTCCTCGTTGTAGAAGCTGCAGCGGCAGGCGGCGAAGCGGCGAGAAAGCCGGTCACGCGTTGCTGGCCATGGAGTGCGCTCTCTCTAATGGGCCTCCTCTCCGTCGGTGCATGCACGCGCCGGCTCCTCTTCCCCTGGCCTCGCGTGCAACAGCCGCGGCAAAAATTGAAGCAACGTCCGAGAGCGAGAAAACAATAAGCCACGCGAAGGAAGGCTTTCGTCATTGCGCCGAGGATTTGCCCGCCTGACCGTTTTCGTAGCCCGGAGCCCACAGCCCCGGCGTTCCCTTCGGTGCCTCGTCGCAGCCGCCTCTCGACGTTCCGGCGTCGTTAGCGAAGTGACATTGCCTCGCGCGCCCGCGTGCGTTCGGCGTCGCGTGTAATGATACAGCTTCACCGCGATGATTAAATTTCACCGGATTGCGGCTAGCTATTAATTATCTGCAGCTTAATGAGCAAAAAGCAACAGACAGGAGAACGCCGATTCGCGGAATTATCTTCACTTTTCATCATCGCTCCGCTGGCGCGTCTGTGTGCATAACTGCACGTTGCGTGCTAATAAACCGAGCGACAAGACAAGAGCTGCGTTTCTTTTCTGCATTGCAGATCCGAAACAATGTTCAAAACTGCTAACCCCGTTCGCGCGATATAAAAATCGCCTAACGGCACATCCGAGGTAATTGGCCGAAAGATGAAGCTTCGCGCGCGCGCGGCACTAAAATTATCCGGCGCAACCGTCAGTTTAAGCAGTTACAGTGCCTAAGTACCCTCAATTACACAACGACGCCTCTTGATGAGAGCATCTCGTCTACCTAAAAGAAAATAATTGCCTCGCTTTTCTTTTTCCCCTTGCTCGTGGCGTCCATTCGTTCCCAATTGCCTTTCGAGGTTCAAGGTACACGCTGTGCACGCTCGACAGACAAAAAACTCATTTTCGCCGTTCCACCGGCGGCGCCTTCGGTTTGATCCCCCTCGCGGACGCTAGCTGGTTTCCGCGTTAACTGCGCCTTCGCCGCCACGCGTCGCCGTTTTGGCGCCGACGCCACCGCCGTTTGTTCGCTATTTTTACGAGGTGGCCAGTGATCGGCATGCGAGTCGTTGCGAAACCAGCGCTTCAACGATCATTCGGCGAGCGCAAGCTAAGGCCGAGCGCGCGTAAAAGGACTCGACTCTGCGGGATAATCGCGGCGCCTTGAGTTCCCGTCGTAATTGAAAACTTTCTAAACGCCCGCAAAATCAACGCAAAACGATGATAACAATGACGATAGAGCGTGCAACAACCTCTCTTCCTCTCTCTCTCTCTCTACTTCTTTCCGAAATTGATTTATTATCCACGCGCGGCTTATCATTTTGAATTTATCAAGATTTCCGCGACAACGGCAACGACCAACGGCGAAAAAAAAAGCATCAATTTCACTGTGCGCAACATGATAAATCATGCGAACAATGAGACGAAGGACCACACGACTTCCGCTATGTACGTACATCGCTCGCAGGCGCCTCGAGAGAGAGAGAGAGAGAGAGAGAGAGACAAGTTTCTCAAGCTTCTACGGCTGGCCTTAGGCCAATCCGCATCGTACGCGCGCTAGCGTACCCCGCGAATCGCACATTTGCCAAAGTTGTCTCGTCGCCGATAGTTTATTTACGCGCCTAGTTTTCTATCTTTTTCTTTTTTTCGAAGTGTGGATGACTAAGTCTGCTTGTTGTACATGAGTCATTCGCGCCGTATCGTGCGACGTACAGATGATTGTTGTGACAATGCCCAAGGGATTTATCAAAATTGATAGCGAGCTATCTTTGAATGCATGTACGCGGATGGAGAGCAATTTGCCCCGGAGTTGATTTGACGGATGCGTCCTGTAACTCGAGCGCTGTCCTCGTGTCTGACTTTGATAAGTATTTGTTTCTTTTTTTTTTTTTTTCGTGTTCGAGCGGAAGATGTTGACACCGGAAGTGTTTCATTTTTTCATTTTAGTGGCGCTGAAAATGAACGATCGACGCAACTACTTGTTTTTCCTTTCCCGAAAAGGTAAAATAAGTTGTGTCCATCCTCCGATCGTCGTTACACGAAGAAGTCTCTCCTCGATCGCCAGCAGGCCATCTTATTCCACAATAGCACACAAATCTCAACCAAACGGAAAAGCTTCCCCCCTCCCCCGCCCCCACAACAACACGGGAAATTCCGTGCCGATGACTCGTCTTGACGCACAGGTAAACGAAGAGAAAAGGATGACAAGGAAGAAGAAAGCGCTGATTCTCCGTTATCTCTCGTAAACGTCAAAGAGAGAAAATCCTGTCGCCTAATATTCTTCGAGCTAAAAGTCTTTCCACGTTATTTCGCGATAAAATGAAACAGAAATAGAAAAAAGAGAAGCTGTTATCGTGCAGCGTGAAAAGTCAAATACCAAAGTCGTTGCTCGTCGCGTCTTTAACAATATAGACCTCTTCGCGAACCGGCAACTCAAGAAACGCGCACTGGGTTGCTCCGACGCAAGGAAAGTCGCGATCTCGAGGACGATCACCCATAAATCGAGTGTCTCTGCGGAAGATTCGACGACTTGGGCATAAGTCTAATTGGCCAAGAAGTCGCGCGAACGTGCAGGCCGGACAGCGGAGAGAGGCCGGTGAAGTGGCGAGCCAAGAGGAAAAGGCCGCACGCATATATGATTAAAAAAAATTGGCAATGATCGACACTCTCGGCAAGCGCGTATACGTGCGGCCGCGTCTTCGTCGTCGTCGTCGTCGTCGCGCGCGCGCGCGCGCGCTGCCGCGGTGAAACCGCCGCTTTCACAATCGAGCTAGTGCAAACAAAAGGTTAACATCCGATCTCCTTGGCCGGGAAGCAGCGTAAAAAGAAGTGGCCTCGCGCGCGTGCTTCTATTGCTTTCAATTTTCGCTCCTCCCGAACTAAAAAGGTACATCGATCGCCGCGCGCGCGCGCGCTATCCGCACTGTTTTTGGCGGACGATATCGCGAAAATATCTCTCGCGCTTTCTCTCGTGCGCACCTGCGTGTTTGTATATATGTGTGTGTGTATGTCTGTGTGCATAAGTACGCATGCGACCGTGAATAACAAGCTTAGATCCAAGAGATGGAATTTAATTCGCGATAGAGTTTTTGCCGCCGATTTCTTCTGCCGAGTACGTTCTCTCTCTCTCTCTCTCTCTCTCTCTCTCTCTCTCTCGGGGGATTAGCAAAAGGTTTCTTTAATCGATTTCAGAGAAATTCTCGGTGCGCTAAAGGCATTTCTTCATGGTATACACGCACGCCGCGCGATTAATTGGTCGATGTTAACGTTTAACTCGATTAAATATCGCGTTTGTATTCTTGCCGATTTCTTGTCGTATGCTGAGTAACCAAACCATTTTTGGCTTGTTGTAAGCACGAACACGATGAAAATTGGAAATTATTCATATCGAAGCGTTATAAATATTTTTTAAATAAATTGTTGATCATTAATCTGTAGAGTCGGTGTCAACGAGTAATCATCGTTATTGATAGAAGTCCTATGTTAGAGGAACTAGTATAAAATACTATGTTATGTAATAATAAAAAAAAGTTGATTCATTACCAGTCGTTGCTGTAGCAATGCACCTTGAATTTCAGAACTATCAGTGTCACGGGCATTCAAATTCATGGGAATTTGAATCGAGTGCCAAACGAACATCAATCTTTTTCACTAAAGCAATTACCCGTTACAACGGTTCGTTTCGCCTCTCAAAGCAAATGAAATTTCCGAATCAACGTCCTCTACTGCAAACAAAAGAAATTTCCCTCCTACCTATGCGTTAATTGGTCTCGCATGAATTCAAAGAGCGACCAATCAAAAAAGCGCACCGGTCAAAAAGAAAAAAAAATGTTACGTATCGATCCTCCGTTTTCCAATTCTGCAGCTTGGCAACTGTCCAAATTATATACCAGTCCACGTGATTTTGTTCACGTGGGCTGGGTTTGGGATTTTTTGTTTATCTTTTCGACATTCGATAATAGACTCGGTGTTTTTCGAAATGTCAATGAATGTTAATTTCCGTGATATTTTCGTAAGTTTAGGAAGATCTGTCGCGCAGCACGTGAAGGGGAGTTCCCCGCAGGAGAATAACACCACAATTTCCACGGGTTTCGCTATTTGCTCTCGTATCCAGATTTTTATTTCCGACCGCCAGAGGAAAACATTTGGTTTCCGTCGGTGGCTACGCTTTATTGCACTACCGAAACGATTACTCTCAATGATAACTGGTAGTCCTCTTGAACGTCTGGCAAGCCATGAAATCAATATCGTAAATTGACCCGGATTCGCCTCCTAATCGTTCGCGCAAACGTCGCGCGCGTCAACTCCAAAACCAAACAACGCCAGTTGAACGCTTTGCGAGCGCGCGAAAAGCCCGCCTACAGCTCGAGAGCAGATGTAATCGACGTCGCACTCGCGTTTTCTCCGCGCATTCCTCCGAAAAGATATCGAAGAATTCCGCGCGCGAAACCCATTGCACAATGGTAAAAGTCGGCGCATCTCCGAAGAAAGAAAGAAAGAAAGAAAGAAAGAAAAAAAAAGGGCACGCGGCACTTTCGCGTTGATTTCCCTCTTAATTATGTTCGCCGTCAACCAGATGCTACACATTAACGGGCCTGAGAGGATTTTCTCGCCTGCATATCTCGCGCGCGGTGAGAATACGTTGCTTTTGCATTCTCACGTCGCTTGGCTGTGCGCGAGATGAAATGCGCGATACGCGTTAAACTCTGCTCGCCTCTTCTCTCTCTCTCTCTCTCTCTCTCTCTCTCTCTCTCTCTCTCTCTCTCTCTCTCTCTCTCTCTCTCTCTCTCTTTCGTGAGCACGCGCTCTCCCTCTTGATGAGCGCTCGTTTTTATACATCGGGCCTCTCTTTTATAGGATGATGAACTCAAACCTGGCATTGTATATTCGCCTGGTATGATATGTAAAAGGCGAGCGGTTTATTTGGAATTCAAAAAGACGCTGAAAAACGGAATGTTCCTTTGCGTGGGAGGGTAAAAATGGCCTGAACAAACGCCCGAGAGGCGCAGTCCTCGCTATCCTGGGAAGATTTTTGAGTAGACTGACGTATGACATATGCTGGGTGATTTTTCAAAAGAAACGCGTCTCTCTATGAGGATCTAACCCTGACCCATCGCGCCGTAAATTGAACGGAGATCAACGTTAATGCACCACGCGAACCTCGCAGGAAATCAACCGATAAGCTGTCGCATGAATTTGCAATTCGCGTAGATATCCCAAGGCCTCGTTACTATGACGATGCATATAAAGTCTAATTTAAAATCCTCTTTCTTGATTTTTTTTCAGGTCACCCACAAAGTGACGGGACAGGTGATGGTCCTGAAAATGAACCAACTTCCGGCGAATCGACCCAACATGCTCAAGGAGGTGCAACTGATGAACAAACTCAGCCATCCGAATATTTTGAGGTTAGTTACACGTACGTCCATTGTTCTAACAAGGTCGCGGCGAACGATCAATAAACGAAGGCTATAAATGTAAGCATATTGTAAGCACTTTAGCTTTACATTGCAGGAAATACTGGTAATTGATGCGGAATTCGTGTTTTTGAAACTTTCGTAATTATGTAAAAGAAAACCAATAGCTCATTATATACTAATAACTACGCGGATAAAATTTTCTAAATTTTTCTCTTTCTTTCGCAATGATTGACAGAACTTTTGACTTTCTGGCTTTTTGATATGCCGCAGTTGATCAACATTTCAAAATACTCAAGTATATTAATAAATCGGTTAAAAAAAATACGAGCTTACATAGATAATGCAGCCAACGTCAATTAAAGTCAGATAGCGGTATTACATCTCAAACGTGAATTCGTAAATTACGACTCACGCATCGTCGATCCCAAGCATGTAGGGTAGTGGGCATAGTACGATTGGAGAGGGAGGATCTTTGTACGCGAAAGCAAAAAGGGGATGAACGGATCAGTGAGTCGCATCCTGAATATAACCGTCGAGCCGCGCGTGTGTCAAATTATCAGTTCTAATTGGCTCTCTCTCTCTCTCCGAGTCTTAATTGACTATTTTTTCGATTGATCGACAAAGGTTTCCGAACACGCACATAAAAAAAAACAATATGAAAGAATGCACTCAAACATCATTGCTTGACAAAATTCTCGCGACTTTGATTACAGAGCGTTTTGTTCTGCGAGACTCCACACTTCGCGACTTCCGTTTTTCTTTCTTTTCGCGACGGCTGCACATTTTACCTTGGGGCCCGCGCTGATTGCCGCTGCTGTTGTGAATTACACAAATTAGACGAGTTGGCAAAATTCAGTTGCCCAATGTATTATCTTGCTGTTGATGTAGGCAAATCGTTTGTTGCTTCTTTTTGTAAATGTTTGTTTTTTGTAATTAGTTTTTATAATATTTGGTTATCGATACCGACGTTAATCGCATTTAACTCAATGCCATCTGCACCATTAAAAAATAGAATGATAAACGTGTTATTAACGCTAAATAAGATGCTATCACCGACTCGACAAAATCAAGTCATTGAAAGTGACACTTCTGTTTTACGATTTCAAAGCACAAGTGTCACAATAAAACTTAGACGCGAGGGATTAGCGTTCGTTCCAAATAAACCTAACACAAGTGTATTATTCCCTTGTTTATATGTATATGTATATACGGCACTGTTGGCAGTTAACTGTGTCAAAGCCTTAACCATTTCGGCAAAGGAAAGAGTCTCACCGGCAAAAAAAGAAACCAACAATTAAGGAGCTCCGCTAATTGCAAATTTCCATGGTGTGTACCGTAAAAACGAAACAATCGAAAGTGGTCCATACGTGCAGGGAGAAAACTTTCGCCGACGTTGTGGCATGAATTAGACCGATCGATGCGCAAAAAAATGAGCCAAATGTGTACGTGTGTATGTGGCAATTAAAGCGAGACGGACGAACTCAACGCTGACGACGAAAAAAAAAAGAGAAAGGAGAGAGAAAGAGAACAGCACTGCTGCGATTAATTGTTTCATATTATAGACATGCGTCGCCGCTCGTCGAGAGACTCTGTCCGTGTGTCTTGCGAAAAAGCTCTTTTCTGCGGAGATGTTTTTTTTTTGTTGTTGCGGACGTGTCAGAGTTGCTGTTGCGCCATTGACGGCCGCCGGGCTTTTTCGCCGCGCGGCGACACGGCGACGCTCGCAAGCTCGCTCGCGCCACGGCTGTGCGGGATTCTCCGCTATTGCACTTGTTTTGTCGTGCGCGCGACGGGTTCACTGAACCTTGAAGAATTTTTCTTCCGACGCGTAATATCGAATCTCGCGCTGCGTTTTGCAAATTCGACGAACGGTACTGCGAGAACGTGGAAGGGATGGAAAATTGCAACGCGCAGGCAAATTATAAATCGCGGAAAAGCCGACCAATCGAGGCCTCATCCTCACGGCAGTAACAATCGCGTAACAGGATCATAAAGACTCATTAAATGGCGCGCGAGGCTGAGTTTTTCTCCACTTCCCAGCGGCAGTAGCAAGACTCTTGTATGCGCAGAGATCGAACGGCGCCTCTGGAACTTCCGTAGGCGCGCTCCGTTTCTCGACCGACTATTTATAAAGTCGCCGGTGAGAAACGAGAGATGATGCACGTCGACGTGCACAACAGTGCTCGCTATGCGCGCAGTCGAGTGAGAGAGTTGCCGTGGCAGTACAATCTTTTATCTCGCACGCGCGTCGAGTACGGCGAGACGCGGGGAAATACGGCGCGCTCGTCGCTTTTTCGGCAAGACGATTCACGGCTGGCAATCCGTGAGAAGCGTGAACGATCGACACCGCGGAGGAGAAGACAATTGGGTCGAGGACCTTGTCGAGCGCGACCGTAACGGCACTCGAAGGTCGCGCCGATCGCTTTATACGGAAGCGGATCGAGCCTTGCGGCTCCGAGATTGAATGTCGACGAGACGAGTCGATAACCGATCGGGAGCGCACAACGGGCAACTCGCGTTGCATGCGCCGATCTCGCTCCGAGAAATTACTCTCCTTCCTCTCGTTAGCCTGACACGCACATGTGGATTCGCTGGATTTTACAGCATTTCGCTCTTATGGTTTGTGTGTGCGTTTCGACATTAGATTCTTGGACAGAATGAGATTTTTATGTATATAGTTGTCCAATGCGTATGGTAGGTGGGATCAATTGTTGTTGGCAGTTGGAGAAGTTTTTTTCGAAAGGCAAAAGTCAAGTGTGAGAGAAAAACACTTGCTCTTCGCAAAAAGTTTGCGTGACACTTTTAAAACATTAAAGTGGTAGATTATAATAAATAAAATTGTACACGGTTATTACATATAGCTTGGGATATCTATCACTGGCAGAGAGTGACTCGACAAAGAAACTTGAACTTTTTATCTGAATTCGACAATTCATAATCCAAAATGGAGCATCAACAAATTTTCGTCTTTCAGGTTCATGGGTGTCTGCGTGCACGAGGGTCAATTGCACGCCTTGACCGAGTACATCAACGGCGGCAGCTTGGAGCAATTAATAATGTCGAAGCACATCCCATTGCCGCACCACACGCGAATAAAACTAGCTCGAGACACGGCTTGCGGCATGGCGTATCTCCATAACAAAGGGCTGTTTCATCGAGATCTCACCTCGAAAAACGTGCTAGTGAAGAGGGACGATGCGACCGACGAACTGACAGCGGTCGTCGGCGACTTTGGACTCGCGGCTAAAATCCCGGATCCAAGTACTGGCTATCGGTTGAGTACAGTTGGTAGTCCATACTGGATGTCACCTGAGTGTCTGAAAGGCCAATGGTACGATCATCGATCCGACGTGTTCTCCTTTGGCATCGTCGTTTGCGAACTCATCGGAAGGGTACCTGCCGATCCTGACGTTCTACCTAGATCCGACAATTTCGGATTGGACTATCTGGCTGTAGCCGAGATTTGTGCTGCGGCTGATCCTCCGCCGGCTTTTTTACAATTAGCTTTTCATTGCTGCACGGTGAGTTTTAAACTCATAACGTGAAAGTTATCGATGAAGCATCGCCGATTAACGGCGTGGATCAGATTCAGATGTGTTTCACTAAGATCATTCTTGATCCGAGTGGTTATCTTGACTTCATTTAATGAACTGATATTTTATCCGGGATTTTTTTTCTAAAACACTGTGCGTAACTCAATTAGTCACACAGAGACAATTAGATCACTAATGATCGGCTTTTCGACTATGCGGTTGATTGATTCGATTGCTTGTTACTGACCCAAATACACTAAGAAATTAACTCTTTTCAAAAAGTGTTTATCTACTCTCGTTTGTTTGTCATCCGTCGTTCACTTCTTTATTTAGATTCAAGGATATCGAGATTATATACCTACGTTTTGCTAAATTTTCCTCGAATACCAAATAACCAGAACCGCGCTTATTTGACCTTGTCGACAATCTAACAATAAAATTTACAATATTTTTTACAGTCAATAATAAAATTTCTTTTAAATTTATAGTACGAACCACGTTCCAGACCAACTTTCCCGGAGATCGTGCAAACCTTGGACAATTTGATCGATTCACGCGCCGAGGAGTCGAAACATGGTAACCTGTCATCCAAACGTCAGTCGGTCGATCAGGAATTAATGTCAAGTATGAATGAAATTGGTCGTCAGTCGCGACCCATAGGTCGACGATGTGCGCGACTACGAAGTCATTCGGCAGACGCGCGTGCTTGTGCCAACTCACCAGCACCTTGCGATAAAGCTCGCTGTCACTCAGCGAGAAGAGTTGCTGAATTGGCCAGTAAAAGAGATCCACATTACAGACCTATGACGGCAAATCCGTTCCATGCGCTCGGTGGCGTGAAAAAGATTCTAGGTGATTTATTTTCCAGTTGCTTGGAATTGCCATCTTTGGAGGATGTTAGGTCTAGTGGTGAAGCTAGTGCTAGTGGAAGTAGTAGTGACACTAGCGGGAAGTTCAAAGGAGCGCAGAATGACAGTATTGCTAAAATTCTCGTGAGGAAAAAACCCAGCTCTGAACCTAGTAGCCCCACTGCTAGAAAAAAGTGGGAGAAAAAGGTGAACAGTTTATTTTTATTCTAAAGTATTTTTCAAAACTAGACCTAGCCACGTAAATCTTGCACAATATATGTTAACGCTAGCGCAAAAATACAATTTCAAGTTATTTATTTTCTCACTTAAAATACATCACTGTGCAATCGTTAGAAAAAAAAATAAAAAATTGTTATTTTCGTTAAATTGAAGACCTTTTATTTTTAAAAAGCTTCTTACAATTGTACTTTTACTCACAAACATCTTTGACATTACAGGTCTTGACAAAAGTCGGCGCAACGAGTCTGTTCGCACATCCTTTATTTCGTGACGGTTGGGAGCCTCGAAGAAGAGGTAGTTGCGAGTCAGGCTTCTGGAGCTGCGTAGGCGAAGATTTGAGTCCAGAACCTCCAAATCGACGTCATACTTCGACACTTAGCAGTTCAGCCGCCTCGTCGCTTTTTCTTCTCGACGATCATCGTACAAGCTCAATCTACACCGATTCCAGCGAGGATATTGCAAGTTTAGGTGGCGGCGATTCTGCATGTTGGGAGGAACGTCTTGGACGTGAATCCAGCAAAACTATTGCGAAAATTGTAGATTACTTCGAACGCAAACAAGCTGGCAGAGGAGAACACTCGCACGACGTACCTAATCGAATCGCATTGTTGAGAGCAAAATTGGAAGGTTCGATGCCGTTGTGTAGTATGAGTGCAGCTCAGAGACTGGTGGTATGCGAGGGTGCGGTACGAAGCAAACTACCCTTGTTCGACAAGAAGTGACGAGAGGGCTCGAGACTACTAAGAAACTCGGGTGCATGAGAATAAGACTGTGATGTGGGGGCTACGTCACTTCGTTGTTATACATTGTATGCAGTTCCTAGGTAGGCAGCTCCGTCCTGTAGGCATTGTTGTTGATTTTTTTCTTTTCCTTTTGACCGGAGAAGCTCGTGCGATGTTTGATATGAACTCATAGACTGACTTACGTTTCTTTTTACGTAATTGTACATAATACAGCAAGAGACAGAAAGAGAGAAAGAGAGAAAGAGAGAGAGAGAGGGGGGGGGGGTGAGAGCGGGAGAGAGAGGCAGTGAGAGCGAAAGAGAGAGAGAGAGGACCTCGAGATGATTAGATTTATTTATTTTGCACGAGCTTTATTGTATTTTCTCTTTTTGAAATCGATAGTAAAGCAAGGAGTAAGCATTATTATTATTATTATTATTATTATTATTTTCTTCTCTTACCCCTTGCTTTTTCAATCTTCCTGAGAACGTCCGTCAGTGTCAATTCAGTGTCAAATCATAGATGTTTTAAAAACGGAAAGAAAAAAATGATAAGAAAGTCTTCTGTCATACTGAATGCGAGCAAGAGTGATTGGCCTATATAGACAAAGACAACGCAGAAAATATACCCCTCCAAAATACGAGACAAAGTGAGAGAGTAACGTGTATATTCGATATGGGTACGCGTGTGTGATGATTTAGATCCAGTTTTTTAAAATCGATATAATATATTTTGTTGAGAGTGATATATACTTGTCTCCCCGCGTATTTTTGTTGCTAGTAAATCTTCTTATAGATGAATTTAATATAAAACCATGTGAGAGAATGCCAAGCTAAAGAAATTATATATCTATATAAATAATTAATTTAATATATCGATAAATGTACATGAAACTGATCTAGTCAGTGTATTGAATTGAGGCGGCCTTATATTTTATATAAACACACATACTTGAATACATTAGAAAAAAAAAATGGAAAATAAAAAAAAAAGGTAACGAACAAAACACGTTGTAAAACTTCATTGAAACAGCACGATTTTAGCGAAACGCCTGTATATAATATTTTGACGTAAACGATGGAATTGTCGATTGAATCCGAAAGTCTGATGTCTTATATACCTGCGTTTATTGGATAGAAATTCATGTGGAGACCAGAATTTTTTATTACCACAACTTCGATTTACAGTATTTTAATTGCTTAGTCTGCTGAAAGTATTTTTAATTATATTTTACGATAAGTACAAAGGAATGAAAAAAGTCAATGATTTATACCGACAATTCAAACCGAAGAATTTTGACGAAAGGTAATAAAACAATTTCTGGGCTCCTCACATTGATAGTAGCCGAGCAAAAAAAGAAAAATAAGAATGGAAAATTGTCATTAATCTCCAATGAAAAAACCGCTTAAAATAAACTATTATGAAGTAATACTGTTGAGAAAAACCAAATATATATCTAAAAAAATCATAATAATTGTTCAATTAAAGACGTCTTGGTAAAGAGACATCTTGAATAGTTTAATCGTCTGTTTCTGCATAATAATTACCACATACGAATCCGTCGTCTCGTCGTATTATTTTTTTTTTCGAAACAGATTTTACCAAATTCGTATTTAAAGTATATACATAAAAATTGGAATAATCATTGTTGAATAATCATTGGGGTTGTGACGTAGTTGAACGTCCGGCTCCAAATGATAAGACTGTGTGTTTGGTGAATATAATATACATGTATGTAAGAATGAGTATTAAATCTTTTGAATGTCTTCACTTTATACGCCGCAATGTTTAAAATATATTTATCTTCCCGCAGAAACGATTAAAATTCAATAAATAACAGTTAAACGTCTTTTTCATAACAAAGTTGTAGACACTTTTATACAGATTGAATAAAGCACTTGCTCATTATTCAGAAATCAATACTGAAAATGAAATAATTTTAATAATTTAAATCGATGTACTTGAACTTCTTAATTAACTTTCTACGGTGTTTACGTAATAAAGCTGAAGGAACTTGTGAACTTATAAATCTTAACATAGTCTGTAATAGCAGTGGTTTGTTATTTGTATTTTTACGCGTAGATGAAAACTGTGAGGATCCTACAAATATGTATTCCGATAGAGTTGTATCGAATAGAAACTTCCATATGAACAGCTTCTTGCACGACACATCAGAAATAATGTACATAACAGTCGAAGCAAAAAAAATAAAAACAACCGATTTTTTTAGACATTTTATAGATTTAGAAATATACAGCCAAGAAAAACTCCGAGATTTCGTGACACGCTTCTAAGTACCTGAACAACTTGAGCGAAAAAAGAAGAGCAAAGAATTTTTATAAAGACCGACATATCTTTAGTGGGGCATATCCTAGAAACAATTGAGCTAAACTTTCTGTAGTAAAAATTGAATGAATGGCAAAAGAAAACTGAGATGTAATTTAAAAATAGGAAACTCCGAGGTTGAATGTGTGTTGAAGAATGAGAAATAATCCTTCCAAAACACAAGTGAAAATCATACATTATATTGAGTGAATTTTGAAAAGAACAAAAAAAAGAGTTAACGATACGATTGAAATATAATTCTTTAATAAACAAAAAAATTATCTCACCTATACCATCTATATTATTCGTTTCTTTTTTTTTTGTATTTTTTGACTGCTGTCTGTGATTGCGTGTGTGACTCAACAAACACGTTAGGCTGTATATATGAATAAGAAAAGTCAGAAATACCGTCTGAATCAAATAAAAAAAGTATACCGTGAGGATTCTTAACACTGTATGATTATACATACTTTGTAATTTCTAACGACTTTTGCTCGTATTGTAACTAATATAAAAGACACGACATCTTTAAAGAGTAAGTGTGAAAACCTAAAAAAATGAATAAAAGTAACACACTGATAATAAATAACTAATAATTAATGAAATACAAAATGTGCGAATGAATGTGAACGACGGTGGGATTTTCAGCGAAACTATACATAGATATATTATATTGTAAAGATTCCTATACATATAAAAGATTAATAAAGTTAAGGGCTTGTAATTTTTACAAAAATATAATTGTGAGTATCATTTCACTTACACTACCCAATTAAACATCCATTCAAAGAAATAAGTAAATGCATGTCAATTTCACAAGATTTTATTTAAAAAAATATCAGAAATAATCGTATCATAACAGGCTGTTTCACGTAAATTTCAATAGAGATCGCAATAATGTCAAATAGATCTGCCCTCAGAATCATATCATTGTATAAATACTTTGAAATACATAAGCAATTTTTAAAACACTACGATGTACGCTTAGATGAAGCAAATCCGTGGTATATAAAGCCATGGCGGAATATCAGCTCGATAATCCTCGTAAATTATTTACATGTCTTAACGACCGTTACGCAAGAGCTTCTTTAATTTATCAAACAACGACAGAATGAAAAAATAAACTCTTTTTCAAATGCGGACGGATCGAAAAAGAAAACTGCAATTTCGCGCGATAAAGGAGAAAGAGAGAGAGGAAGAGTAACGATTATAAATAATTTAGAAACATATAAATAAATGATGTAAAAAATACACTCGTGGTCCCCTTGAAAAATAAGAAGAGCAACGTTATATTATATCGGTCCACTTGCACACTCTTGCACAATTTTTATGCGTTCATGCACTTCATCACCGCTTTCTCTCCTTGTTCACTGCTCGGAGTCCAAGATCCTCTTCTGGAATTAAAGGAATATACCTCGTTCTTGGATCGTTCTTCCTTTCGTATACGTAAGGAAAGACAATCGATCTTGCTTGAGCTACGTTTTCCTCGTCTAGCTCTTTCGTGGCAGTATCATCCTTCGACGCGAAGTCCACCAAGGGTATGAATTTCTTTTGCTCGCTTTCCGACGAGTTGCCAGCGGACTCAACGGGTATCAGAGGCACCCAGTCGTCTATCTTGGTCTCCGTCACCGCTGGCTCGCTGTCGTTGGCTTTTGGCGACCAACTGCTACCGCCTTCGTTCAACCATTCACCGGGCACTGAAATGCAATTTTTAAAAGTTACTAAGCAAATGCAAAAGGTATTACGAACGCGCGTGTGAAACTTGACCGACCATCAACATCGAAAGACTTATCCTTTCTACTCTGCTCGCTCGGCAAAGCTCTGACGGTAAGTGGTACCCAATCGCTTTTGATTGTACCTTTGGCGACGCTACTCAATGTAGAGGTTGAACTATCACGCTGAGCTTCACTCGCCGGACGCATCGTCGTCGCCGTCGTCGTTGTTGTCGTCGTGGTCGTCGTCATTGTCATTGTCGTCGTCGTTGTCGTTGTCAAAGTTGGCTCTTCGAATTCGATGTAATACTTGGTCCGACTGTCGTTGCTGTCACCAAGTTTCTTGCCGGTTTCATTGTCATCTTTCAATCCAAAGAAGTTACCTAAAACGCCAAATCACATTTTGAAACCGGCAATGTTGAATAATTTGGCGCGAAAAAAGACGAACCAACCTAGAGGCGGAAAATATTTTGGTCTGTCAGACCTACCGCCGCCCATGAAACTCGGCGTGTACTGCGAGATCAGCGGCAACAAAGTTTGTCGGGCGTATCTCTCGGCCTGCGCCAAAATTCCGGCCAATCTCTCGGGTAAGAATTGCACGGTGAATCCGCGATTCGACGTTGGCGACTCCTCCATGAGCTCGTGCTTCCTGTCCTCCATCGGTATGCTTTTGGCATTGTCATTCCTGGTGCTCCTCGGCCTCAACACCGGTTCCGTTATCTCCGGTAGCCTCAGTGAACGCGCGCTCTCCTTTTTACTCGACGTCGAGTGAATGATCTCTTCCTTCGTCGTCGATTGATCAGACGACGACGACAGCGACGACGACGATGACAGCGACGGTGACGACGTCGACGACGACAACGTCAACAACGACGACGACGACGACGACGACGATGAGGTGACGGCTGGAGCGTGGTCGATTGTGACGGGCCGAGCTAGAGTAACGCCCGAGAAACCTCGGCCACGCTCGGCGAATTCACCGATGTTGTTGCTCTCCACTGAGTTCGAGTTGCCGTCGTTGCTCAGCTCGGCGAGACTCCAGGGACTCGGTGCGCTCTGTAAGAAGGGATGATTTCGCGACTTAGTGGCAAATTATTTAATTTACAGCTGTCGTATATTCGCGTCAAGGAAAACGGGAGCACTGCGCGCAAATATCGATTTATGTAACTTCTCTGCGGAGATAATGCCGATTCTACCTCAGACGCTCGACTCTTTGTAAATGAAACTTGAAGAAAAAGGTGCCGGCAATTGGCACCTCTGCGCGCGCGCGCTAATCAAATCTGTCTTTCGAAGAAGAACGTTGCGAAAAAAAAAATTGGTTTTCTTTTCAGTCGCAGAATCGTGTACCAACCGGATGGACTTTGATGAATTTGTCGGTGAAGTCTTTCTTCGCAGTTGCTAATTTGGCTTGCTCATCGGCTATTTTAATGCTCTGCTCCTTGGTAAATGGTCCTAGACCTTTTTGTGGCACTTCATTTGTGAAACCGTCTTTTCCTGAAAAAGTAAGTCCATGATTGATGAACATTGCTGCGACTGGCAATCAATCTTGAGATTTTAGGCATATCATGAAATTTTTATACATTAATTTCAAAGATTTATATTTACTATCTGCACGTTCTGGCATTGACGAGCAAAGCTTTTCTGACGAAGTAAGTATGTAAAAATAAATGATAATATTTCCTAAAATCTGAAACCACACGCATTCGAAGCATCAAAAGAGTATAACAAGAGTGTATTTTCTACCTGCATTCCTATCATAATTGTGTTCTTTCATAAACGGCCCAATACCCTTCTTATTCTCTTCTTTGATAGGTACGTCCTGTCTAGTACTATTACCATTGTCCTTGTCATTCTGCTCGGGTGGCACGCTACAGTCACCTCGATACAGAGGCAAATAATTTGCTTTACCAGACTCGAGCACGAGACCTCGGCGGCACACCGATTGTATGGCTCCGTAGCTGTCCGTTATCGAGACTTTGTCGACCGACCAGCTTACCAGACCTGATGAGATCCAACCGCTGTATGCAGTGTACTTTATCTGTGGCAAGATTTTTGACAGTTGTAAGTTTGCTTTCGATGAGGCACATTACAACAATGAACTTATATTTAGAATATAACGCTCTCACCTCTATGGCATCTAGATTCGAGAGAGCCGGATGAGGCACGACAATTTTCTGAAGAGTTTTACCGACTAGTAGCTCCTCGTCGTCTTTCTTTGTCATTGTGAAGGTCTCGTTCATCGAGCCATCCGATAGCAGAGTCACCTGTAGCTTGCCGTAACTCTTCACCGGCCTCTCGTGCTTACTATTGTACAGCTTGATCTGCCGAAGAGAGACGACGATCAGATCTGACCGTCGATACAAAGGAGATGACAACAAACGTACCTGATACTGGTGAGCACAAAACGGTTCCTCGTCCCTCGTCAACAGATACAACTGGCCTCTCGCCTGCGACTGATCACTGTAGAATCCCATATCACCGCAAGGCTGATCGGCATGAGTACCGCACGGGAAACAATCGCCTTTCAGCAGTCCGTCGTAGCCTTTCTCGCACGGGAACGCGGGAAATCGACACTTTGGACTCACCGAGTCGGTGAACAACTTGTACGCACGTCGATGGTTGCACAGAGAACGACCTTCCACTGGATTGGCTGCACAATGGAATTTACGGAACTAATACGAGTATATTTCGACTTTCTGTCACTCTCTTTAGCGTGGTCTGACTAATGGATTTATATTGGAAATTAGCGGTAATCGAAATATGAATTTTTACTTTTTTTTATTTTTGTCGTTCGAGGTCAATATTCGCGATAAACATTTATCATTCAAAATGTTAAAGCGATTTCGAAATCGATTTTTATACGTCACGCTCACAAATTAAATTTCACCGAGATCCGACCTGAAAAAAAACTTCAGCGCAAGTCATCATAATAATTATCGCGAATTGCACAAAAATGCAGTCACCCATCATTCAAAAAAAAAAAAAAAAAAGAAAAAACAACATCTCATAAGTCGACCGAAATATTCATAAATAACGATCAAAAGAGAAACAGAAAAAAAAGAATCTATCATATCATGCAAAAGAAGCCACAGCACAAAGTACGACCTACTTTCAAAAAGCCACATGTGGGAGTTTGAGTAAAAGCTGCCGCACAGGAGTACATACGCTGCTTTCTAATCGACTCGACTCGGCTCGCGACACATATCGATCTCGCAATGTTGCGCGTGAAAGTGATCGCCGGGCGATTTACGCGCGCAATGCATCGTATTGGGTAATGCTGCCGATCGGATGAATTATCCCGATAATTGAATTTGAAATTAGGTAACTCCTATGCATACCAGGCGTATCGAATGCGGCAGCTGTCGTTGAGTAACGCATGCATTTTTCTATCCATGGGAAATGTGTAATTTTCAAGGTTTCAACTTACACCAAATGATATCACTGACGGCACCGAGGAAAATGTTGGAGCAACCTGTTTGCATTCTACCACCGTTCGGATAAAAGTCAACGTCGCCCATTGGTTGCCAAGAGCCAAGTCCGCCGAGAATTAGTTGCTCGCCATTGCTGTGAATGACGTCGACGAACTGCGCGTCTGTCTCGTCGAGACGCGCACGTGGATCTTGTGCTTCGAATAATGGACCCGCTGGGTCCAAACCTGCGAGAGAAGTGTTTGCGTGTGTACGTACTTTTTTTTTAAATAAACATCGAGAGACCGAGGTGACCTCGTCGACGTCGAAGCTTTTACTTTTAACGCGCGTGCGGTGTTTTTCCAAGCGAGCACTTCGCGCGCCGGCAAGTGAAAGTATATGTATATGCGTACATACGGCAGCATCGTTAAAACTCGTGTACTAATGAAGAACTCAATTTTCAAGCCTCAATTAGTATCATTCGCCTGCCTTTCTCTCTCTCTCTCTCACTCTTTCTCTGGAATAAGATCGATTGAAATATATTTCAAAACGCACAACATGGTCGACCTTGCGGACTCACGCAACCGGTTAATAAACTCGATTTGCACTTGGTATCACCCCAACTTTCGCGTGGGATAAGTCATTAATAACAATCATAAAATATAGCCGCGCGCATCGGAGTCGGAAGTAGAATCGGTTGAATGAACTAGCGCACGTGCCACGTATGAATTTACGAGACTGAGAATTAAAAAAAAAAGAAAAAATCGCAACGAGAGTTTTCACCAGTGATTTTTCTTTTTCTTTTCGAGGAAGCGTGCGGCCACTTTCGAAAAAGTTTAATTTAACTGCAGATGATGAGACGCGCGTGCGCGATTTTTTCATGACTAAATGGCCGGAAGTAATCGTGACTTGTGTTATTGTATTATAGTAGTTTGATTTTATGGCTTGCGAAAATTATCTGCCGTTGAGCAAGCTGATTTGATCTTAATGCCGTAGTAAAGATGAAATTCTTACGCGTAAAAGCTTTCCACGTGACCAAGCATTCTATCAAGAGAAAACAGTTATGCCCGGGAAGTCGATTCAGCTAATGAAAAGTCGACTGTATGCATCTGAAATTTATGCACATCATTCACCACAAGTCATAGAAACGGCAGAATTTGCATGGAGATGGCTTCGCGCTTTATGCTCCGGCGATAAATGGAGCCGCGGAATGAGTAATTACATGACGCGTACGTTATGACAAAGAAAAATTTTTACGTAAAAACGTCGTTCTCGCGAGCGAATGTCATCGGTCAAGTACAGCAGTAACAGACAGAAATAGACATTTTATGTAACTATACTCGAATCCACATTTATGTTTCTTTGACAAACAGTTTTACGCGTGCTTACGTGGTGAAATAATTTTCTTGAGTTAAAGAAGAAAGCTTATACAAAAAAAAAACATCAGTTTTTTAATACGTATACAAAACTGTTTGGTCACGAACTTACCGGTGATCCTGGACACATTGCCAAGTTCCGCACCGGCAAAGCCAGCCACGTGAGCGCCGAGGCTAAATCCAATGAGATGAATTTTGTCGACGGGCACGTCCAGGCTACGCACGAGTTTGGCAAGTTGACGACCGACCAGCCGCGCGTTCGCCGCAGCTCGCACGTAGTTGGGCACGGCCGAGCCTGGACCCCAGTCCACGCAAACTGCCGGGCGCAACGGGGCGGTAAGTGCGCGTCATCGAAATGTGAACTCCGCGGCGCGCGCTCTTACCTATGTTGCACTCCATGACGGACCTGAGGGCAGCGCGGATCTCGTACACCCAGACTTGATCGCAGCTCGAGCCGAAGCCGTGCACGAGAATCTTGGTCGGCAATTCCGGATCGATCGCGTTGCTCGCCATGCTGCCGATCTCGTCGGCGGGCACTTCCATGGGAATCGAGCGCGCTTTTCTGCTGCCGTAGACGAAAAATCTGCGAAGACGAAACGAGGGTGAGACGAATTTCTAATCCACGGTCAGGCTGTAAAGACATCGAGCGCGAGCGATAAATCAGCGCGAAAGTGCAGCGGCAGGCAGTCGGTCTACCCTCGAAAGCGCCGACCGCGCGAGCTTGGCTCTCGATTGAGAAACGAAATGGAGAGACGCTGCGACCCGTGCGGAATGAATTACCCGCCGCGGCTCGGCTTCGCGAGAAATCCAGCTTAGTCTTGGATATACAGTTAGCCCCCGAAATCCCCGATTTTCCCGCAACGCACCTTGTGCCGACCTCCTTGGGCGGCGACGGCAACATCTCCAGATAACTGAATGGTCCCGTGTCCTCGAAACAGCCGACATCTTCGTAGCAAACCCGCGATATTTCGCGTTTAACGCGATGGCCGTGTCTTGCGCGCTTCTCTTCCCATTCGCTCATCGACTGCACTACCGAGCGGAATATCAATGCGTCGTTACGCTCGTCCAGTGACTCCAATTGCCTGAGAGAGCCCGTCGTCGCCTCGGCATTGTTTACTGCAATTATAAAAACAAAGGGAAAGTTTTAACGTTATGTTTCATAGTCAAATAAATTCGTCGAACGTTTCGTCAAGCATCGTAATTTTCATTTCTTTCTATTCATTTTTCAAATTCTTTATTTCTACATTGTGCAACGAAGCATTAATCTTCGTCGTCGAGCTGAATCTCAAAGTTTTCTCACGCGTCCTTTGCTTTTTCGCCAAAAGCGAAACAAAGCCGCAATGTATTATATCTGTCCGCATCTATCTTAATGTACAATCTGAAGTGGTTCAAAAGATCGTAACGCATGGCTTGATCATGACACAACAGCGCAATGTTATTTCATTGTACTTTTTTCTTCGGTGAAATGCCACGGCGAAAATTTTTCATTTGCAAACCGGACAAAATAAAATTAAATGCAGTGCTCGCGTCCAAGTTCAATTACGAAACATTGCAAGCAAAGTAACGATATTGATTTACCAGATAAACATCGACGTGACGATGTATCGCGCCCGTCGATTAGCTTTAAATGATAGAAATACAGATGTAGAACAGTCTGTAACGCGGAAAAAATCTAAGACAAATCACGATGAAAATTAATTGAGAGTGTTCGTAAGAAATCTCGCGGCGTCAGGTGATTCGTCGCCGTGCCACGCGCACAAGCTCCTCCGAACGGTTCGCGTTAATACACGGGGACATCGCAACCGAAACAATGAACATACATGCTCATCGAAGACTCCGACTCTGGCGCCTTCGGGGCCTTTATAACGGCAAACGACCCCCGTTACGGGCATCGCGCACGGAGGATGACCTCTGTCGCTTACTGGCCGACTGACCGATTGTGCGCATCCAAATCCAAACTCGGAGCCCCCGCTCGCGACTCGACTAACACGATGGTGAGACCGTTACACAGACTTGCGCTATTATTTATCACTTTCTTGCTGGACTCCCGAGTTAACGAGGCGACTGACTCCATTGCAGAATCGTGGGTGTGCTCGATTGCCGCGGCAGGCAAATTGCGCTTAGGATCTGGCGAGCGTACAGATATAGCCGGCAACGTTCGCGCTCGGCATTACGGCAAGTATTACGATCGACAGTGATCGTTCGAAAAACAGATGTACGCGTGTACGCGCAGCCCGAGAGAAAGTTGATTTTCATTGATGGATATCGCGAGCGCCTCTGTCAGAATCGTCAAAAGTGAAAAGGAAAGCGAGAAAATCAAAGGCGCGGAGCTAAAGCGGCGCGCGTGCCGATCGATACGCAGCGCGCATGCAAACGAGAACAAATAAAGGAGAAAGACACAGCCAAACGGGGCCACGCCGAGCGATCGCATTGCAGCAGTGGACGGTAAAGAGAAATAAGAGGAGGCGGGGAGCAGGCCGCGCCGACCGTTATCCAATCTCGATTTCTATGCGCCCCCGAAAACGGCTCCGCGCGTTACGCAAGCGCGACGGCGGCCAGCGCGTTTCTCGTCTCTTCGGCGGATGCGAGTAGCCGCTGCTGTGATTACGGCTTTGCGCAAGCGTGGGAGAAACGTTTGCGCCGAGCGGTTCGATGAAAAATTGGGAAAATTCGCGATAATTTCCCATCGGAGACACTCCGTTGCGAAGAAAAGGTCCGAACGATTGGCGCGCCTTGATGAACGGCCCGACTCGAGCTGACGTTTTCAGAAAGGCGACGCGAAGTTTTCGTTACGATTGCGTAAAGGATACGGGTAGTCCTAGGGAAAACGAATCTGCGTCAGTTACGTAGCGAGAGAGAGAAGAAAGATCGTCTACTCCGTCGTGCCGTTGAAAAAGCTTCTTTCTCCTCGCGTGGCGAGCTTCGGACTTGACGTTTATTTTTAAATACAACGGTACAATGTACTTTTAAAAATACCAAGTTAGTCGTCGCTGCGCCTCAATGGCTACAAATTCAGTAGGCTTCATCTTCGCGTGATAGGGGCAGTTGACGCTCTAAAAGACCTTCCAAGTTATGCGATATGCATGCCACGCGACAACGCTCAAATCGCTTGATTTCGAATTGTCTTGGCGATCCTTACCACATCACCGGGCAATGTCCTCGTGACTGGCGAGCAATTCATCGCGGCAATCACGAACCAAATGCTTCGCACACAGCGTCATGGATGATAATCACCAAGCATCGAACGAGACATTAATTGTTTATCACGGCTAAGATTGCTTACCAGTATCGTTGCGCAACTTCGTTATCATCGTTTATATATACTGATCTTCGTGATCGCTGTGATAAGCAACCGACCTATTTATTACGTGATTCTATGCAACAAATCTATGCACACGACGACCAATTGTTACTTGTTCAATCTGTCGATGTCGGATCTGATCCTTTTGATTTTTGGTATCGCATCGCAAATAAAACTAGTCACCGATTCTGCCAAATTAATGTTTCCTTTTTCTTCTTTCTTAAAATCTGCCTTTCCCTTTCGCATGCATTAATTTATTTATCAATAGTTCGTCAATTCTTTTCCACGGGTGTCGCTTGCTTGATAAGCAATTCGGAAAATAACAATGAGCGCGTCAGCGCTGACGATTACAGCATTTACGGTCGAGCAGTTGTTTCGACATTTGTTATTGCATAATGTCGAAATCATCCCTTCTCTCTCAAGTTTGTCTTACCTGGCAGTTTGGTCACTGAACCCGAGACAACTCATTGCAAATTCAAAAAGAAAGCCATTCCCTACGGTCTGATTGTAGTGCATATATTCTGCTTAATTTGATGGTGTCGAAAATTAGCAGAGCAGAAGACTCCAGTGCAATAAAGCGTCCTCACAGATGGCGACAAGCGCGAAGAAAACTTGGAGGAGATTAGGCGAGTCGAGCGTTCAAATTTCAGATACGTATAACAAAATTAACAAAACGTAAATAACTAAACATAACGCTTTGCCTGTGTTGGGTGCCAATTGCTAGCAACTTATTTTAACTGTATCAATTACGACGTCGAAGTTCACTTGCTATTATGTATACTTATGCAGTATCGGTCTAGCCTTACTGTCTGCTTTCATGAACCCTTTGATCTTCGACATCATGTCAAGTAAATTTCGCAATGCATTTGAAGTAAATATAATAATGGACTTTCTATTTTCCAAGCAATATTTCAAATGAAATATTTGATATTTAAAATCATTTTGTAAGATCCCCCACAGGAAACGTATCCAAAAGTTCACAGCCGCAAATGTATAACAAGCGTTTAGGCGATAATATGACCAATAAAATAGTCTTTAAGCGAATTGTACAGCTGATTTAAATATTAATGACCAGCGTTCGTTCCGTATTATTGTAAATCGGCCATATTAGATCGGAGTGTAAAAGAGCCATTGGCTCAAAGCAATCAACGTACCGTTCATTATAATCTCACAATTGCCGAATTTTATATTCACAAACAGCAATTATTGCAGAATTGTTAGTCTAATTTATTTTTATAATTTTTCAATTTCAGACTACATTCTTATCTTTTTGACATTATTGTGGAATATTTTCGCTCAGACCGGTGAATTTTTATAAGCCCCGAATACAACAGAATTTACAATGAGGACTTTCAAAAAGCCAACAGAGTGCCGTAGTTGCTGGGGATTGGTGTAGAATATTACTGTCCGGACAGTAAAAAAAATTGACAACCTTGTAGAAAAAAGTAACCAACTGGATTGCTACATAATTTAGATTTTTTTTCCTACTGGGAAGAAATGCTGAAATTCTTTACTAGACGCATTCCTCCAATATTGAGATCAATGGCAGCCAAACGTTGATGAAGTAAATTGAAAAGGTTATTTAGTGATTAAGGACTACGTTGAATTTTTATTTGTATATAGGTGCCATGATATAGTAAGTGATTAAAATCTTTTCGTATACGAATAAAAGTAGTTTAGAAATCTATCATTTTATCAATCTCTTAAAGAGCTGCTTAACTTATTTGATTCGTATTCGGTAGAGTCATCAGCAATGCATATTAATTTCTCCATAAAGTAAATAAAGAGACTGCTTTTGATCGTAAATAATGATGGTCATAAACAATGCATCTAATACTTTCTGCATTGTTGCCACTGAAAAACTGAATACATCCAATAGTTCGTAGCGTGACGATTTGTTTGCAGGTCTTAAAAATTATAAAATCAATTACTCAACGTAGATAGAGACAAAGTGCTGACTGCTATTGACATGTATAGGATCACGATTGGACTATTTTTGATATTGCATGTTAAAAATTTACGCGTACAACCAGCGGCTACTGTCTGTTCAACTTGCCAGTATCTGACCTTTCACTTCCGATTTTTGGGGACCCTACTTAACTTCCCTCCATGTGCTATCGACAATTATAAATCCAGTTATATATAGTATCGTGCTTAAGAAATTCCGTGATGCTTTCACGGTACGAGTATTCATAGCCGGTCGACCAGTTTCTTAGTAGAATTTCCTCGTATTAACGAAAAGCGCTATTCCGACCAATATTAAGCTATGCGTAAAACAATTAGTGTAGCACCTCTGCTAGGATCCATTTAGGCAATTTTTAATTTCGGACTACGATTTGTTCTTTCTGACGTCTGTGGGACACCCCCGCTCAGACCCCCACGATTTATTTTTGTAAGCTTCGAACGTAGCAGAATTTACTGCGAGAACTTCCAAAAAGTCATCATAGCTCAGTAGTCGCTAGTTTATCCGCGAGTCAACATTGAAGTGCTCTGTAAAATCTTAGTTTTTAATAGCTTCGCGTGCAAATTAAAGTTCTGTATGCTTTCTGACGGATTCAATTTATATAGAGAAAAAATATGAATACCAATTGGTGTGAAATGTTTTGGTGTTACTTTTTTTGGAAATTGCCACAAAAAGTCAACGTGAATACTTGATGTAAGTCGCAATTTGGAATTTCATTTGACGCTGATGATCGCAAGATCAGTGACTCGGAGAAAAGTACATAAAAGATTATACAGCGATTCAGGCGTGCTTGGATTTTCTACTCTAGTAGATCACCGAGCAAACATTTTTTGTAACAATTGAGTTGGATTA